ATAGTACTCAACGTAACAGTCGAAAAGTCGTTGAATCCGGACTCATGACGGGACTTCGGCGAATCCGGATTATCGATTTTTCCGAGCTCACGTGACATTGGTCACACCCCTTTCTACATCTCAGCTTCCTGCACCGCCCAGATCAAGCATTTCCCCACCTGCAGCGCTCTTAGTAGCATCTAAATCAAGACAGCCGGAACACAACACGTAATTACTGCGTGCTAATCGCGGCTTAAAGAGGAACTTGGAACCAGAGAGAAGAGCGAGTGAGAGTTAGTTGCAGTAAGTAGAGAGAGAAACCTTCTCTCGGTTTTTCCAGCTCGGCCACGAGCAAATGTTTGCTTCGCTCTCTCTAGAGCGATATTAATATCTCTGCCAAGAGATTTACAGCAAGGTAGCCGGGTTCGCCGCTACCTTACGAAGAGCACTCTGCTCAGACACAGCTCAGTCCAGCAACCACCGGTTTAGAGAGTCGATTAATTCTAAATAGTCTTATCTTGAACCAACCATCAGCTTGAACTATTTCCAAACAATAACTTTCATCTTGGCTGAGTTCTAAGCAGGAAATTTATTCACACCATCTGAACTGGTTATCTTTCTTTTCCCCTCACCCTACTGTGAGAACAATACTGTATAAGTTCATTTATTTTTATTTTTTTGTATATAGCCTAGAAAGAACCCAAATAAATTTATTTACGCTACCTCTTGTCTTTCGAATTCGTCACAGCTCTAGAGCCTATGTGTAAAAATAGCTATAGAGGCTATACTCCTTCTCCCTTGGGAAGAACTTTTCTCGAGTTTAGACAAGAGAAAAGTTCACCTCACATCTGCACTAGTTCGTAAACACAACACACAGGATTTAAATATCTCTGTCCTCTAAATAATATCCTCAAGCACGTTTATACAAGAACATTGTTGCATTCAATAATAATAATACTAATAGTATTAATGTCACTAATAGATAGTTCACGTATATGTCAATTAGGCATTACCCTTAGAGGCGAGAACTTAATAAATCCAATACATATATATACACACATTACAATGTGCTTAACAGGAAACAAAATAACCTGTATATTTAATAAATTCAATACATATATATATACGCACAGTTACAATATGCTTAACAGGAAACAAAAATAACTTGTATACTAGCACAGAGTGTTTCCTGTAGACGACTCAGCCTATCGACATATTATTTAGCCTCTCTGAGCGATAAACAACCTCAAAGTTGCAAGGCTGCAACTATACTATAAAGTTAAGGAACACAATAAATCCTACATAATTCAAAAAGGACCAACAAACAACATACAAATACGAAGTACTACAATAGACAAAACAAACAAAAAAATTGTATTCAAAACAAGTTCTCGGCTCCTATTGGGGCCTAATTCAGATAAAATCTGAATTTATTTGGTGCGTTTTCGCACTTCCGAACCTTTATTATGTCTGTGAGTTTCCAACTGGCAGATAACTGACAAAGTAGTTTGGAAGATAGGAACAAAATATTTAGCCCTAAGTGGAAACTCACAGACATAACAAAGGCTCGGAAGTGCGAAAACGCACTAAATAAATTGAGCTTTTATCTGAATTAGGCCCCAATAGGAGCCGAGAACTTGTTTTAAGTACAATAATTGTTTGTTTGTTTTGTCTATTGTAGTACTTCGTATTTGTATATGTAGGATTTGTTGTGTCCCTTAGCTTTATAGTATAGTTGCAGCCTTGCAACTTTGAGGTTGTTTATCGCTCAGAGAGGCTAAATAAATGTCGATGGCTGAGTCGTCTAGAGGAAACACTCTATGCTAGGGTGTGGTTGTTCGGTTATTGATATATATTTTTGTATACTGTATAAATATTATACCCGACTAATATTCAGGTTAATTTGTCTCCTGTTAAGCACATTGTAATGTGTGTATATATATGTATTGGATTTATTAAGTTCTCGCCCCTAAGGGTAATGTCTAATTGACATATACGTGAACTATCTATTAGTGACATTATTACTATTAGTATTATTATTATTATTGAATGCAACAATGTTCTTGTATAAACGTGCTTGAGGATATTATTTAGAGGACAGAGATATTTACCTCCTCTGTGTTGTGTTTACGAACTAGTGCAGAAGTGAGGTGAACTTTTCTCTCGTCTAAACTCGAGAAAGGTTCTTCCCAAGGAAGAAGGAATATAGCCTCTATAGCTATTTTTACACATAGGCTCTATAGCTGTGACGAATTCGAAAGACAAGAGGTAGTGTAAATAAATTTATTTGGGTTCTTTCTAGGCTATATGCAAAAAAATAAAAATAAATAAACTTATACAGTATTGTTCTCACAGTAGGGTGAGGGGAAAAGAAAGATAACCAGTTCAGACGGTGTGAATAAAGTTCCTGCTTAGAACTCAGCCAAGATGAAAGTTCTTGTTTGGAAATAGTTCAAGCTGATGGTTGGTTCAAGATAAGACTATTTAGAATTAATCGACTCTCTAAGCCGGTGGTTGCCGGACTGAGCTGTGTCTGAGCAGGATGCTCTTTGTAAAGTAGCGGCGAACCCGGCTACCTTGCTGTAAATCTCTTGGCAGAGATATCAATATCGCTCTAGACAGAGCGAAGCAAAAATTTGCTCGTGGCCGAGCTGGAAAAACCGAGAGAAGGTTTCTCTCTCTACTTACTGCAACTAACTCTCACTCACTCTTCTCCCTGGAACTGCGTTCCATGATTTTGTTCAAGTTGTCCTGGGCGTGTCGGAAAAACTTCTAGGATCCTTATTTGTCCGTAATTTTTAGAAGCGCCTTTTGATTCGCGAGAGCACTTTTATTAAAAACTGGATATGATGAAGACAGCCTGGGAAAAAGTCCGTGGGAACTTTTCGATTCCAACTGGGGGTCTCAATCCGGGTGGTCTGAGACACTGAACTTATAAACTGATGAAAGGGAACTGAACAATGTCTCCTTTCGAACAACTATAAAAGGAACAAAAAAGGCTGAGATTATTTTTGTGACTGCTGGTCACTTCCTCTTTCCGAGAATTCGCTAAGAAATACTCTGTCCGTGGGAATTTTCGAGGTGGTCATTCTTTTTCTCAGAACTTCGTGGTGGTCGATAAAATAGCTTAAGACGTTACGGTACATTATTTTAAGAGTCAAATAAAAAATTATGATCTTAAAACTATTCCAAATACTTGACGTAACAACAAGCATTAATATTTCAGCATACGTTTAGATTAATAGACCCTCTCGGTTATACAGAGGCTGTTCACACATTTTTTAGACGATGTATATTGTATTCACAAAACTAAATTACATAAAACTATTGTCTTTTAAATGTTCTATTTGACATCTCTTATTCTGAACTATCTTCCTATACCGCAATTTCCAGAATAATAATGCCTTTTGAAGTGGCAGAAGAAGTATTCTATCCCATTCCTCCCGAACAGCTTTCCAGAGCCCTGTTAGGGTTTTGGGACAACGTTTGGATAATGCAGATTTAAAAGTCCGAAAGCACAAAAATCCATAGGTGATACATCGGGAGATTTAGTAGAGATATCAGTGAAGGGTATGGCCTTGATACCAATTTTTTGTTCTATTTCTTTTAAGAAAAATTTACAGTGGATTTTGATGTGTGACTGCTAGCTTTGTCCTGATGGAGTCTCACTGATTGATGGCACTGTGAGCAAAGCGATGGTATTTCATTCAGAAAAATTGGCGATAAAATATGTTCCTGATAGTATTTGGAGTGATCGTGACATTTTTTTGCACTCTCTTTATTTTTAAATTGCCATTATAAGAAAAACACCCAGCAACAATCATGAACCCTTAGAAAAACTTTCTTTCGATTCTTTGAACCATGTACTTAAATTTTTTTCTCCACTTTTATGATAATAAATGGCTCTTTTTTTGTTACAATCATTTAAATACACCCATGCTTCATCTATTGTGACAACTGTTTTCCATTTTTTCTTTGGATAAGTGTTTCTCATATAGAATTCTGCAGCGTTGTCCTGCGTTGAGCGATATGCTTTGGAAGAAGACGATGCACATTGCGTTTTTTTCGCTTTCTTAAGATTTTAAATCAACGTTTATCATTTTGTTTACAGTGGACACCGAGAATTTTAATGATTTTGCAACTATCTTTTGACTAGGGGGATTTTCTTTTAACATTAAACAACGTACCTTTGAAATAGTCGAAGATGTCCGTTTTTTCCTTGGATACTTGTTTGGAATTTTTGCCCCACGTGAGGCTCCAATTGGACGTTTTTTCCCTTTCTTGTTGATGATATTACCTATCGACGCTTTAGATATCACAAAACCATGACTCTAACATCGTTTTGGGATAACGGAGTATGCATATTTCTCTTCGGAAAGAGCGTAAATGTAGCCTTTGAACCACTGCTTTGTTAAATTCAGCATTTTGAATAAAAACAAAACTTTCAAGCCACAGACGATAATTTTGAGTTTTTTGCAGCAAACAATTTTTTATTACTGTTTACCAAAACCGTCTAAAAAATGTGCGAGCAGCCTGTATAGGCTTCTATGATACGTGAAAGTAGAGCTTCTTTCAATTCTGAAGTTATTGTTAATTCTGACATCATTGTGAGGATGCGCAGGGACACATTCTTAATTCTTACATTTTTTGAAAGTTATGGCACTAACTTGTAAATACGCCTCTTTAATTTAATTTATCCAAAAGCTACACATTTCTTTTACCATCTTCCGTAATGCTTTGAGAATTTCAAGAAAACTAAATACCTCTGCTAAAAACAAGATACGTTATATTAATAAATTCGTTTTTCTTTATTTATATGGATCATAATAATGAAAAATAGAATTTCAAATATATTTTTATGTGCTGTATAATTTATTACAGTTCTGCTAATGTGTGCGTTTTATTTGCCGGATATTTATTTAACAAATAAAACCCAGCCTTTCAAAAAACACTATAAATTTTTTAAACGAAATATTGCAAAATCGCAAACAATTTAATTGATATTAAAAGACTTTACTTACTGTAATCGTAAGATTTATAGCATGAAAACCATCAAATGTTTTCTCCCACGGATTAAATCTTCCGTACATCATATGCGTTTTATCCCACATAACTCGAGGCTTCAGTACATAGCCACAGCTTCCACTCTGCTCAAACATGGCAGTGTTTAGATGAAGAGCAGAATCTAAAAATAAATCAAGTTCTTAACTTTACAGCAGAAATAAGTTTAAAGCACTTTGAATGATAATAAAAGGGAAAATTACCGTCTGTTTGGTAGTTCAAAGCAACCATTTGTATTCCAAAAGCCCAGAAAATAACTGGATTGAAATTAGATGAATCGATTCGCATACCTGCTGGATATGTTCGCATCAGTTGCGACTCACAATGAGTAATAAGCGTTAAAGAATGTAACAAAAAGAAATATAAATTCCACGAATGCCAAATAATGTATGTCTTATTAGCTACTAAAATATAGTTTGAATCACGATCTTTCATGCTAGTTCGGATTTACAGTAATAATTATGTTCATTTGGCCTTTTAAATATACGAATAAAAATAATAGCAATTTATTTAAAGTGTCCTCAATGGTATAATTAGAGTCCAATCGTAATAACTTTTAAGTCTTAAACACGTACACGTGATTTATATGTGAACTTAAATGTATGAAATAAAAATTTATGCTTGAGAATCAAACACACAACCTACTACGAAATTTCTGCAACATTTTCAAGTAAGCAAGCATGATGACAGTTTGAAACATTATAAATATGATGTCGTTTTGAAGCTATTTTACAGAATTTTTGTTCTATATGTTTCCGGATGAGAATAAGGAAAGGACCTGTAGTACTGTTATAAACAATTCTTTATTTCTTGCGCTTATGTCAGGGAGTGAAATTGCAATTAGTTAAAAATTTTCTTATGTAGTAAGTAAATTGTCGATAAGCTTGCACTCATACGAGCCCCTTCATTATGAAGCAATCAAAGTCAAAATTCGAATAACCCCAAACTGTGAAAATGCTGTTACACTACATACGAAGCAATGAGTTCCTGGAGAAAATTAAACAAGAAATCTTTTTTATATTATTAAGGAATTTTTTCTGGGCACTCTATTCACAAGCTTGTAAGGATCTTAAGTTTTACTAACGTTTATTTTATTTTAAATCTTTACTATCACTTCTTATTTTCTACTTCCGGCCAGAATTAAAAGCGTTAACTTATTTATGCAAAATTTGTCTGGCGAACGCCAAGTACTTAAGTTGTGGCTTTTTGCCAAGCGAGAGAGAGGAAGGAGTTAGTCGAAGCAGGCCGCTTACCTTAGAAGTTTTACTCAGTTGCTGGTTGCCTTCCAGGCCAGAGGTTTAATCCTCTTGATAATTTTTAAACGTATTGTAGTGTTAACAGTTCTCTGTACTACATACGGCTTCCTGTTAATATAAGGCCAATCTTCCACGTTTATTATTTCAAAGTTAAATTAGAGTTTAGTTATATTTTTATATTCTTACGTTTAGACCACAAGTAGTGGGTCTTTGTATTCCGAAGTACGGAAATTATTGTAAAGAGAGAAAAATAAAGGGTTTTGTATACCCTTCTTGTGTATCCTGTCTACTTCCCACAGTTATTGAACATAGCTTTAGTAAGCTCCCTGTTCCGAGTCAGGCCCTTGCATGTTTCCAAAGAAAGTAAGACGGAACATTGAACTTGATAAGCTTTTCAAGTTATCAACCGATGCTAGATGTTAATAGTTTCCATTAACTCTACTGTATTGTTAAACTCTTTGCAATTCGTATTCTGTTTCAGCTTAAGTTAACAGCACTGTATTGCTGGATTCTTTGCATCTCACCTTTTTTTTTCTGTTTAATCAAATCTTCGATCGTCTTAATATCTGGCAACTGTGCAGGCAGTTGCAGTTTCGGAACTGATTTAGGGGGGGGGGAACCCAGCTGTTTATTGCTCGTGCTTCTTATATTTCTCAGCCAATCATCCAAACTGTTTCTTATGCTGAAAGGAATCATGCGTCTACTAACTATCTAATCATAAGAACCACTCTTTCTTGTGATTTTGGCGGGTAAAGTATTTCTATCGTCTTCAGCGTTATAATCTGAATATAGTAAGCACTTTGCCTACAGGCAACATACTTACGCCGACAAAAAATTCTCATAAAAGCACAGTGTAGTTTTCAGCAAGGAAATGACCATCACGTATACATATTGCTGCTTTCTAAAGAATTGTGCATTTGGAGTAATTGAAGATAACACTTGATGAAGAATAATAAAAAAAAAAATATTCGCCAGTATTACACAGGAGTGTTCCAAAGGAACGTTTACAGTCGTCGAAAAACTACGATAAATACGCTGAAACAATCAGCAGCACAGCCTTCAGTCTACAAAGGAAAGACTGCTTTACGCAAAGGCACTAGAGTACACCTTCCGACTCGGTTCGGTCGTTCTGAAGCTAATCTCTGAACTCCTACACTACTACTGAACTCAACATACTACTTTCTCCGCTTACAGGCAGAGCATATATAGCTTTTCCTACATTCGAGCACATTCTCCAGGAAAGCCGCTAAGAATCTGTTCTAGAATGTTCTCGTTCTATCTACGTCATACCGCCAATTTTGGTGCCAAATGTCGCTAAATGGAAGATTTTACGTCAAATATGTCAATTCTGCCGTTCCCTACCACTTTCTAGCAACCCTAACCCCACCTTACGGGGAAGCTGTCTTATCGCAGCTAAGCCCTTCCAAGGACTGCTCGTTCCGGGCAGTAAATTCTTGGTCAGAAGCCAAATTCTATACAAGCAAAAGGTAATAAAACAAACAAATAAGGTAAAGAAAGGTAAACTAAACAAATATTTACATCATTTACAAATTATATACACAAATTAACCACATAACACTTTAAATTACGTAAATTAAAGTTCAAATAAATTTCAGCTTCAGGCTTTTCATTAAGTTATACCCTGGTTAATTACTTTCTTATTGCAACACTCAGATGTATTTGTTTTGCATATCACAGTCTGAAGACGCAGTGCTATCAGATTTTTCATCCACAGGAAGGTCTGAAACAGTTTATTCACCACTCTGTAGTTTATTCGCACCATGTAAACAGTTCAACTTGCTATTTTTAGCACTTGGTACATGCTTATTTTTCTCTATTTCCTGAAAACCAGTTCCAGTCTTTGCATTAGATTTATGAATAGATTCCGATTATTTACCAACAGAAGTATCCTGGTTAGAATTTTTTTAACCAGGAGTTTTTAGTGATGCTAATGTTTAGAATATGCGAAACAGCTTTCAATTTATAACGGAGTCTTCAAAAGTCTATATAGTTTTCAAAATGATGCACTATTTATTATGTTTGCAAATGGTGTTACTTCTCCTAATGAGTTTCAAACTCAAAAATACACTTCCAAGAGGTGTTTTAGGAGTTTTATATCTAGCTATAAATGTTAATTAATTCACCCTAAAATACTGCATTTAAATATTTCCTTAAAATTTTTCTACCATCGTGATTTTTGTAAAGGCTGCTCATTTGTGACGTATGTTGTTAAACTGCAGAAAACAGATTATTTTAGCTAACGATTGTTGCTGATCCTTAAAAATGTATGGCAATCATAATAAGAGAACTGAGATAAGATTCAAATTTGAATATGTCTGACGTTCAGAAATATTAGGGTTTGTTTCGCTGTAAAGCTATAAAATAGGTATAACAGTAATCGTACTTAAGAGGTTAAAAATTTAATTGAGACTGAGTTCAAAATTTAATTAAGAGTCCTTTCGCCTCGTTCATTCTAAGTTTGTCTTATATAGTCAATATTGGTTTTAATATCAATCTGCACACAATCACTGTCATTTTTGCTATCATATCTAAATCTACTCCTCAGTACCCATTTAGATGCTGCTTTTAAATTTTGCCAGTGACCTTTTATTTTGATTTCTTTCATTTAGTGAGACTCTCGTTTTATAGAAAGCAGTGTTTTGGTAAAGAAATACGGAAGCGCTTAGAACGCTTTCTTCGGAATTCCTTTTCAAAGAATGAAAAATAAAAAATTAAATCTCATTGGAATAATTACAGTCACATTGAGAAAATTAAATGAACTGCAGGATAATATATCTCATTGGAATCTCATTGGAATAATTACAGTCACATTGAACTCTGAGAAAATTAAATGAACTGCAGGATAATGGCAATTAAATTCACTGATTAAACTCTAATTTTATGAACGTTAACTAGATCTGAATGAATACATAAACTAATTAAATATCACATTGATTCGACTATAAGACTATGCTTTGGGGTTAAAATAGCTGCAGTGGAATCTTTAAAAAATTTTTGGTCGTCACATTACTTTAGTCTTTCCAACATAATTTATGATACACTCAATTAAAATAATTTATAATATACCCAACTCAGAGTTTTATGTACATGTGCACCATTGTTTCAATTTAATAAAGATGTTTCAGATGCCCATATATTACCTACCTCAACACAGCATACGCTTTCTGCTTCTTTTTTACTTCCTGAAAACCATATCTATCTTATACTCACAGCCTAACATTAAAGAAAAATTGTTAAAATAATTTAGCATGTAAATTTTACAAATTAGTGAACGTAAAGATATTTGTTGAATAAGTGTTTCTTGTGCGAAACTAATTATAATATCCAACAATTATAATATCCAACTTTTAATATCCAACTGGATAATTTTAATTTTATCTTTTATAGAGTAGGGCAGTAAATATAGTGCTTTAAGTGATGAAGTACATAATCAAATTTTGAGTTTTATCTGTATGTAAAAACTACAGCCACAATTTGGATTTTGCAAATCCTTAAAAATTAATAGGTACTCTGTTAGAAATAGCTAATAAAAAAGTGAACGCCTTTTTTAAATATATATGTATATTGACTATCATTCACATTGAAAAGGATATGACATCAAAGCCAACGGATGCCTCTTGCACAGCTTCTTTGCAGTGGTTTCATTTACTGACGACACTTTGTAACATGGAGCCGAAGATGCTGCCCTCCTCAAAAATGACGGCTCACCTTTGGATTCTATAAATAGAAAACAAATATAAATGAATTGCATTAACAGTTGTATTTAAATGTCATTCAATAGCGCTAAAATATGTCATTGTCTGTTTGGTGTCAACCCACATGTTGTCATCCTAGATGTACTAGAGGGACAAGCCATTTCAAATGTGGTGGGTGGAGGGATGATAATGAGGATCTGTAAGAATTAAGAGACATGAAGCCACTGTGTTGCATTTGCAGTCAAGAGAAAAATCTGTTAGAGAAGGAAAGATGAAAAAGGCATTCCTGTAATTTTTTTTAATACGAGTATTTATTGTAAAGAAATAAAAGGAGTAAAAAAAACCCCTCAGATAGATGCTATTTTTAAAAGTTTGATACCCATTTTTACTAAGAATTTAAATTAAGTACAATTAAAAGCACATAAAACATATTTGATCGATTCATTACCTTCTTCTCTGAGAAGATTTTCAAATGCATGCTTTATTTAATCATAAGTTTCTTTAGTTAGTCGAAATCCTTGACAGCATAACATCCTATATGCACTATACAATTTATTATTTACAGCCAAAAAAGTCAGATGAAATTTGCAGTTTGTACTCTATTTATGTGTACTTTATATTTACATGAAGAGTACATGAAAAATTATGAAGCGTGTTATTTTTTCCCAATAAAGCATCTGCAAATGTTTAAATATTTTTCTTAAGCACTGTAATTAGCGAGGGGTGTTGTGATTTATCTCACTTGTCTGACAGTAGCATTAGATCAATTCCACGAATTTTATAGCAGCAGAAGCGCAGAATTGCGTTTGTCGTTAGCACAGCTCTTGGAAACCTTATGGCTGACAGTACGATTTCGCCCGCCCGGATGCGTTTCAATTTTGGAAGAGCACCCTCCCGAAAGATGGATCCAAGGGTCTGTCAAATCTCTTCCTGAACCACCACACTACTTGAGAGAACTTTCTGCTGACCATGTATTTTGAGTGCCCCCATACCGCAAAGACATTGTACATTTAAAAACATCCAAGCTTTCTTCACGATTCGAATTCAGGTCCAACGATACAGCAACTAGCAGCGATAACCACTGTACCGATCACGGTGGATTAACGAGGCGTTTAACTGATTATGGAGAAGGACATATGCCTAAGGGAAGGGTTCCCTTTGTAGAGAATCGTCTAAGGCAGTGTTTCCCAAAGTGTGGCACACGTACCCCCAGGGGTACGGGAATAGTTTGGTGACGGTGGGCGTTGCATCGGAGTTTAGTGGGGATATGCACTGCAGCATGCTTAGCTAATTCTATGTTCTCATGAGTCAAATCAAGACAAGACAGTCTTGTAAGGCGTGAGATGGTCCAGTGTGACACGGCGGCTACACAATATACCACACTTCGTTACCGAGACAGCTTACTTCGTTAATAGTTAGTGGCTTCTTCAGATGCTTTAAGCTTTTGTGCGATTTTTCTTATAAGAAATGTGTGTTACGTGCTTTAGTAAGTCCCACTGACTTTTATTATTTTATAAAATATCATTTTTACCCCTAACATAAGTTATGGATCACTGGTTGAAATCTGGAACTACTACACCGAAAGAAAGTAATGATTATAGCAATCAACTAATAATAAGGAAATAATGAAATTAATGACGATTCAACTTCAATTTGGAAAGAACCTGTTAAGGAAAAGGCAAGGAAGACTCGAAAGTACGACAAAGAATATTTAAATTTGGATTCTCATGGACTGGAGATGAAAATAAGCCTATTCTACTATTCGTCCTTTTTTTCTGAAAATTTAACAAACAAAAGCATGAAACCATCCAACTTAAAGCGCCGTTTTGAGACAAACCGTATTCAGTACAAAGATAAACCCATAGATCTTTTTGAAAATAAACTTAAGGATTTAAATCAATCCCGAAAAATAATGCGTTTTTGACAGAAGGTGAGAAATAAAAAATACTGGAAACTTCGTATCGCGTGTCGCTTTTAATTGCGAATTGTAGTGCAGCGAAAACCACTGTCGAAATTTTAATCAAGTCTGTAGCGAAGATAATGGCAGAGGTACTGATAGGAGATAGAGCGAAACAAACTTTTGACCGCGTTTTCTTTCTCAAATAATACAGTTTATCGACGAATCATTGATATGTCTAATAATGTGAAACAAATGTTATTATCTGATATTTCTCGGTAATAATAATAAGTCGTTATTATGCACTGCAAATCGACGAGTCCACTGATATTGCGAATTTTGCAAATCTTATAGCGTTTGTTAGAAACGAAAAAAAAAAAAAAAAAAAAAAAAAAAAAAAAAAAAAAATCAAGAAATTCATGACGACTTTTTATTTTGCCAGTCTTTATTAGGTCATACAACAGGAAAAGATATTTTTAATGTTATGAATAAATTTATGCAAGATAACGAAATTGATTGGAATGAATGTGTTGGAATAAGCACAGATGGAGCAAAAGGTACGGTCGGAATTAATAAAGGACTCATAGCAAGAATTCAAAATGTTGCCCCAAATGTCATATCCACATATTGTTGCATACACAGAGAGGCTTTGGCAACACGAAAGATGCCTGATGATCAACAGAAAGTTCTGGATGAAAGCGGGAAAATCGTTAACTACATTAAAAACCGTTTTTTGAATGCAGGACATTTTTCGCAAATATGGGAAGAAATGGGAAGTAGTTATACCCAGCTTCTTTTTCATACCGATGTTCGTTGGCTATCTCGAGAAAAAATTCTAAATCGATTATTTGAACTTAGAGATGAACTTCAATGTTTTCTTAACGATAGATTTGAGTTGAGAAACTGTTTACATGACTGGAAATGGCTTTGTAATACTTAGCAGATGTATTCGCTGTTTTAAATTGCCTCAATTCATCGTTACAAGGCAAAGAAATTTCATTGTTTCACGTTTCACGCTGCCATCGCAAAACTAAATTTATGGCAAAAGAGAGTTGGTAATCAAGAGGTAGACTCATTTCCCTCTCTTCATGACTTTATAACAAGTTCGACTATTAAAACTGATGCTGATGCCCTGAAATTCATAACGCAGCATTTGAAGAGTTTGCAAGTGGGCTTGGAAAATTATTTTCCTGATTTAAACAAAATTATTGAATGGATAAGATATCCGTTTAATATTAGCACAACATCCATGCCAGAAGATTTGTCGCATGCGGAAGAAGAACAATTGCTGGAATTGGCTTCAGACGGATTCTTGTAAAATAAACATAATGAGTGTACTTTAACATCATTCTAGTTACAAATGCAACATGTGTATCCGGTTTTAACTGAGAAAGTTCTGAAATACATCTTACATTTTTCAAATTCATATATATGTGAAGTTGCTTTTTCAGCATTTGTAGACATTAAGTCGAAAGAAAGGAAACAGACTATTGGACGTGGAACCATATCTCAGATTAAAATTAACAACTAGGGAACCAAATTATGACGATCTGTCATCTCAGCACAAACAATTTCATTCTTATTAATCCAAATAAATGTTACTTATAAAATAACTTTTATTTACATTTTATTACGAATAATTTTATTTCTCTTTTCTTACTATTTTGTGTATGTCACAAAAAAAAAAGAAAAAAGAAATATATTTTGATTGTTATTAAAATACATCCATTTTTGATGAGGGGTACTGTTACTAAAATTATAGAGCGGGTACACATATGTCAAAAGTTTGGGAAACACTGGTCTAAGAGAAGCTGACTTTGTATTAAGGAGAAAACATCGGAAACTCCATGCAACCACCCTGTTTGTCAGGATTTGTGTCGGGAGGAAGTACCTACCTGTGTTACTCAAAATCGTTTTATTCTTTTCCTGAAGAAAAAAATGATTTAGTGCCGTTGTAATATCATGCCAAAAAATACTGAAATAAAAAGCAGAGAAGTCGTTTTAGATTAATCTGTTTAAGAGAGTATTTTACGCAATTCTCGTAACCTCGAAACTAACATTTAAAGCATAGTTTTCACTCATTATATATGTATACATATTATACACAAGATGTTTCTAAATTGTTTTTAGAAATTAAGAGGGTCGATAGTACCCATCTAGACGAGGAATAATTATCCTAGAACATAGGGTCGCGTTCCACACTTAGAGGTAGAAAAGAGGAAAGTAGAAACGCATCGAGGAAGAACAAGGAGACTATCTCTTAAGACTATCAAGAAATAACCGTGTGCAAATTTGCACCGAGAAGAAGCAGCATTTTGCTCTTAGTTGGTACCCGAGAAAGCCAATCAGAGCAAACGGGTGTCCTTGAAAACGGCACAACATCATCGCTTCAAGTATTACCTTGGCAACATCGTCCGAAACTTTTCGTAAATGCCGTGGCGGAGTATACGTACAAGAAATTGGCAAATATTCACCTCACATACGGTGAAGAAAGAGGGAATGTACGCGAAGCACGAAAACTATACGAACAGAGGTTTCAAACTCGTCAGATTTCAAGTCATAAAGCCTTTTCCAGTGCGAGAAACCGGTTCTTTTGCCATCTCAAAAAGCAATGCAGAACGTTCGCGAAATGCACGAACGCCTAGAAATGGAAGAGCGAGTTTTCGGCATTTTGATTCTGTGACATTTTCACTAAATAATAAATCTGATTGCGCAACTTTTCGTCTAGTTCATTCGCTTTTTGTAACTTCAGGTTAGAATTCTAATATTCATATTTTCTGCCTCTCAGAGTGGAATGCGACCCTATGTTCTATGGTAATTATTGCTCGTCTCGATGGGTACTATCTCCCCTCTTAATGAAGATCATGCCGATCACCTCCCACGAATGACCAGCATTTCTTAGACGATAAATAAATACCGATATTCAGCGTCATCTACTTAAGCAGCCACTTCCACAAGAAACCCAAACCATCTAGAATCGTGGATGGTCGTCTACGGAATTGACTGATTTAATCTGGCCCTGTACCAAGTTTAGTATGATTTAAGTAAAACGCTTTGCAACGGTGCCTGCCCCTACACAGGCAGTCCATTCTTAAATACAGATGGCTGAAAGCCTCTCGAACGTGTTTTGAGTTAAATGCAAACAGGATGACAACAGATAAAAGGCATTCTGTTTCTTTGATTACAACTTTCCTTACCATATGAAAGAGGAGGTGTTCCTGGCAAAGATGTCGCCCCAGAAGAAGCAAGATGATTTCTACGACTGCTTATCTTCTTAACTTTTACTGAGTTCGTAGGGCTATTATTTCCTTGTACGAAACCTGTTAAAATTGTAGTACATATAAATATGTCTTCAAGACATCTGAATGTTACAAAATTGGAAATATTTACTAAAAGCTATATTTTTGGGCTTTTCTTTACAAAGTTATACTCGTTATATTGTTTAGGCATTTTGTGCTCATTGTTGCAGGCTAATAGACAAAACCTTTGCCCTATGATTTCGACAGATTTCTACTTCTTTGAAGTATTGCTATATTGAAAATTGACTCTTAATTATTTTTATAATATATTGGGTGAACAGTAACAATGAATAGTAACAATGAATAGTAACTTTCAAATCAAATGCTCGAATGATTAGACTAGAAGAGAAACACGCTAATGTGACAATCAAAATCGTAAAAACAACCTTGTATTTAGCGTAGGTATAATGAAACACTCAATCGATTTCGAGGGCAGCTAAAGGTCCCTCCTCATCAGGAGAAAGAAATACCTAGAAAGAAGAAAATAAAGGAGGAGTCTCAGAAACACGTGGTCCTTATCAGCACTGCACGTTTTAACTTCGCTAATTTTTCTTGTCCTTTATGCTTGATCAGATAGCCTGGCTCAGTAAAAGTAGGCGGCCAGTGCAACTCTGATTAAAAATCCAGTTATAACCACGTGCAGTGCTGATAAGGACGACGTGTTTCTGAGACTCCTTCTCCTTTACTTTCTTCTTTCTAGGTATTTCTTTCTCCTGATGAGGAGGGACCTTTAGCTGCCCTCGAAATCGATTAAGTGTTTCATTATACCTACGCTAAATACAAGGTTGTTTTTACGATTTTGATTGCTCGAATGATTCTATAGAAAAGTGAATAGTTTACTGTGGCTTGAAGTATGTACAATTGTGCTTTTTTACCTGGATATCATAAAAACTGTTGAAAACAAAAACACGCGATTTCCAGTTTATTTTAAGAAGATCCATTATACTGAGATAACGTTTGAAGCTGATATGAAAATATTTATTTAATATTCATTTAAAGGATGTGAAGTGCTTAAAGTACTAAAAAGTTCATGCTGGTAATATTTTGGAAATGAATTTAAAATAACATCTCCCATTTTGAAGGAAAACATTTTTGTAGATTCAATATTACTTATTTAGAAATAAAATAAACATCAAAAATAAGTTTAAGGCATTTTAACGGATGTTAACCATACTAATATTATAAAGCTGAATGCCATTGGATAACTGATTCAATGTAAACATCTGCAGTCCATTATCATTATACATAATAAAATTTATTGTTTGAGAACTAATACGTAAAAAATGCTATTCCTTATAATTTATGCTATAATGTTACATTTGTTCATCTAAAGGAAAGATGCTGAAATAATGCTGAAATAATTTGGAACATTGATACACTGTATTATCGAGAACACCCATCAAATCACTTTTAATATATAAACACTTTGCTGGGTTAATTTTCGAAGCACTGCGAATAATCAATTTTTTTTTCATTTCTGGAGCGATGATTTATATGATGGAGAATAAAATAAAATTCATTATCATAGCAAAGCTTCAATTCTTGTCGTTAACATAATTCCACAGATGAATTTTTGTTTTTGCTATTCTTTAATTATTTTTTATATAGTTCTGTTCAGATGTATGCAAATATAGCGCTTATTTAAGAAATTCAGCAGGCGTCGAAACTGTAAAGCAGCTAGCACATGGAATATTTTGCTTGCATTCTGTGTTCTGCCTCTGTGCTTGACTCTGTGCTTGAGGGCAGTTTGAATGGATAGCTAAGCTAAGAGACAGTGCGCACCAATAAGCTGCCGCCTGATTCTGGAGCACAGTAGTGTAATAAGTTAAAATTCCTAGAACATTACTATAAAATAACTATAATTCTTATTTGAATAATTAAATTACTCTGAATTTGTTATTTAAATAACTGTCCTATAAAATATACGATGAAATAATTACAATTATTATTAAATTAACACAATTCTTTTAAAATTATTGTTCAAATAGCATAATTGTTACAAGATTATTCATAAAATAGATTATTTATATTATTATTTTATGCGTATCATACTTTTAAAGTAAGTTTTATATTTTACTTCTTTCACATCTTAGCATAAGGAGCATACAGTATGCAAAATTAAATTAAATTATTTCATTAAAAATATATCATACACATTTAATGAATTTGAATCGAAGCGCATAAACTAATACACAATCAGTATGGAAAAAAAACTACAGAATTTGATAACCTACCACGGAATTTGATAGCTTGGCAATAAACAACTAAATCGGATAGCTCGGGTGCGATCTGACTACTGGATTTCTTTGCTTTTTCATCTTCGTTAGGCACGTCATGTTCTATAAGGACGCCGGGAATTGCTGATATGACCGATTTCTCTCGATAGGATTCGTCTTGACTAGAAAGAGATTCAGTGCGAGCTGTGAGAGATACGCTTTTGCTGACAGTTCCTGAGCTGTGTCTGTCATCTTGTTCTACATGCTGAAAATTTTCTGGAAAATGTAGGAATTTCTGATCAGCATAGATGTTTTATTAATATGCCATTAAAAGGAATTTCACGGAATTTTATTTTTACCGTCCAAAATATATTCATCATCTTCGTCATCGTCCGAACCCTCGCCATCTTCTTCTTCATCGTTAAAAGAACCAGTACTAGCAGTAGAAATGATGCTGTTTGTACGGCCGCTATTCAATTTACCCTAATAAAAGTCAATGCTTTTTTAGTTTAACATTCAAAGTTTTAAGCAAAATATATGTAGATATAAAAACAAAGTGTTTAAAACTAATAGTTGCATAGAAGAGTAATAAAATTTTATCTCACCCTTGTCTTTGTTGGAAGTGCCGGAGTAATTGAAACCCTCATCTTTTTATTTTTTATCAAAACTCTATAGCGAAGTTGATTAGGTGAAGGTAGTTGAGGCTCATCCCCATAGTCAGATTCAAATAAAAACCTCGATACCAAACGGTCTCCAAATACGTTCTGTTAAAGCAAAATATTAATAAACTTATATTTTGCATAATGGAATGCACAATGCAAAGTAAAAAAAAGAATAAAAATTGTTAATCCAGGATAAAATCTATGTATTGCCTGTATTAATAATGTTTCTAGTTCTTTTTCAGCCACACGTAGTTTTCAATCATTAATGCTACTTTGTGTGAATACTCGCTCCCATTTCTTTAGTGAGACATATGAATGACGTGAAAATAATTAAAGAACTTTTAAGTCAAAATGAGAATATTTTAAATTAAATATAAATTATTTCATCATCGTATATCCTACTTGTACATTTGAAATTAAAAAATCTACTTACTACTAAAAATGAAACAGTGAATTTAGGAGATAGGATAAAAATTCACCAGGAAAAGAGGTGAATACCTACAGGATAACGGATATTGGCTATATTATCGCAGCAAATTAAAGGAGGTCATACGCGCGGTTTCATCCGAAAACATCACGGCAAAAACATCGCGGACGAAAACGTCACGGAGAAAGCGCAAGACAAAAATATCGTGGTACAAAACATCGTGAGAGAAAAGAAAGCAAAGAGGAAACATCGCAGTTCTAAAACATTCGGGTACAAAATATCGTCATCGAAAATAAAGCGGTTAAAAAATTTCGCAGTTTAAAGACATCGTCGTCGAAAATATCGTGGTAAAAAATAAAGCACCTACAAATCATCGCATGACGATAACATCCTACACATGCACTTTTCAGGTTTTAAACGTTGTAAATGCATATTTGCATAAAGACCTGAAAGCGCAAGAAATGTTAACAACTAAGAATAAACGGAAACAAAATAAGATATAATTTTCACCAAAACAATATCAGATTAACAAAAGTAAAAGAAAGTAATTTTATAATTAACCAAGCAATTTTTATAGAGGTAACCTCATACAGTTATTTATCTTAATTTTCTGTAAATATTTTTGGGCTGTATTTTTCACGAAAAATTATGAATAAAACTTTAAAAAAGATTAATTTATTTCCTAGTTAACTATGAAAATTTAAAATTCTATTAATTGCTATAATTTACATTACTTTTCAATTTTTAAATGCTGAAGTTTAATTCCTCCTTTTCACCAAAAATTTATTAGTTATTCCAAAGTATGAAATATAAAAGTAAAAATATCCTTCTTTACTTCTTGCGCTCCCAAATCATTTTGCGAAAATATGTTTACAGCTTTTAAAACATGATAAACGCATGTGTGCGACGTTATCGTCATGCGATGATTTGTACGTACTTTATTTTTTACCATGATATATTCGACGACGATGTTTTAAAACTGCGAAGCTTTTGAACCACTTTATTTTCGATGACGATATTTTGTACTCCGATGTTTTAGAACTGCGATGTTTTTCTTTTCTTTCTTTTCTCTCACGATGTTTTATACCCCGACGTTTTCGCCTTGCGTTGTTTTCTCCGCGACGTTTTCGTCCACGATGTTTTTGACGCAATGTTTTCTGCAGACACCATACGCTCAATGCTTTTCAGATTATTTTGATATGGTTTACATGATACTGTCTTATGTTTCTCGAACTTAATTCACTTGTGACTATTTCAAACTTGCTTAAAATTAGAATTTGATATACACAGCAAAATCTAGAGCAAAGTTTTCAATGTTTGAAAGTAAATGCTCTTTAAACATCCAAATTTTTGTACATTCTTATGCTGTGTTATACATTTTTTTAGATATTTAGAGTACGGTTTGACACATGGTTAATTTAGTTTTAGGTATAAGCTGAAGTTTTACAATTATAAAATTTTTACAAATAGCTTATTGCAAATGTTTATTCAATTACGTTACTAGAGAGAGAATTAAAATAAAGTAGCGAAAATACAAATTTAAAATATAAACAAGTATTTTTATGAGACATTTTTAGAAAAATGCTCAAATTACAAGTCCCATTTGAAATGTGTACGTTATCAATTCACAAAAATAATTACTGATAATTTCCTAGAGACACACATGTGATATTACGATATGTTGAGCATTGGATATTTCAATATTTGAGCATTGGAAATTATTATTTTACTTATGCTGAATAAATGAGAAATTACTTTCCAAAATGTAACATAGTTTTGAATCATGGACATAACTTTTGGTGAAAAGGTAACGAGGACAAATTAGAAAAATAAGAAAGCATGCTCACTTAGTAGAAATATTTCAGTTTCTAACTTAAACTGCATTGTAAAGGGCCAAAATGTTAGGAACACTTAACTAATAATATATAACTCCAGAGGCGTATCCTAAGTTCTCATAAAAGATAATCGCTTTCAATGCAGGCGGCAGCTGAATTGAAACTACAGTGCTTTATATCAAATTTTTATAAATTATAGTAATGGATTTAAGTTGGAGTTCATGTATTAGAAAGTTAGCTATCGTATTTGCGTATTAATATTATTAAATATTGCATAGAATATAAAATAATAAAATGAACATAATACTGGTTTAAAATTCCCTAATTTTTATTCTGAATTTGTAATGTTTTCCGTCTAGGTTTTAAAAAAATTATATCGGAGAATTATTATTAAATTTTTCTTGGTTTATGCTTATATAGCATTATGCTAATTAACCATTGATTCATCGTAATACTGATAAAAATCGACTATGGTAGAGTTGATGCTGATACTGGCAAAATTAGTGAATCAATCTTTAAGCTTGATTTTTAATATCTTACAAATACTGCTGGTGTTTATACAAGGTACACGTTTATTCACGTACAGTAGTTTATTTTACATAAACTTGTACGTAGTTTATTTTACACAAACGTGCTTAGTTCTGTTTAACTCAAATAAGTCGTAGGTCTGGTGTTAAATTTACTTAATGAAATTTCGGGAAAGAAGAAGGGAATTTTCTCTGCATTGAGAAAGCTCGTAAATTCAAACTCATTGTAAAAATCAGCTTTACCTATGTTCATGGACCTACTAGAGTTTTACAGTACAACTGATTTCACATTTTTCAGTACGTATTCTGTTTAGAAAAATGTAAGTTTACCTTATGCATTAGCTATCTAGCTTTTGTATTGAAGCAGGCTGTGAAATTAGTGTTTCCTTTTTATGGCATTCATACGAATGTTTTAACTGAAGATCGTTGTGAACGATAAGAAACAGTGCTAAACTCTGCTTACTTTTTTCACTTATTATAATTTATTAATTTTATATAGCTTTCTCTGTTTGTGGCACAAGAAAACTGATCAAGGCTTCGAATAGAAGCTCTTAGAAAGAAAATGTATTAAAATGTAATTTATCAATAAAAATGTATGTAATTTATCAAGCGATTTTAAAATCTTATTACTTTTTTCCTTACCGAATTTAAAAATTGTTTTACAGATATTTCCATTTGCTTATTTAACTGGAGCTCTTTTCTTGATCACTTGTATGTGAAAAGCTCTAAACTTGTTCTAATATTACAGCCAGGGCTAAATTTCTAAAATTAGAAATGCTGGAGCTCTGTGGAAAGCCGTCAGGAACGATGAACAAAAATTAATGAATAAAATAATAGATAAAAAATAAATAATGAATTATTAAAACTAAGCAAAGTATAAAGGGATAAAAGTGCTAATGATTTAAATTTAAATTAATGACAAATGAATAAACAGCAAATTAAAATATTACAAAAATCAAATAAAAATGAGAAAATTAATAATAAATTTTTAAAAAGTTATAAAAATTCATTGACGTAATAAAACAAATGAAAGGTTGAGTTAGTTTATATAAATAAATCATGATACTCAGGTTAAAAGGAAGCTTAAGTGATTTATTAAATATTCTTCGAATCAGATCAAATTGTAATATAAATTTGGCTTCCAGTTTGTTTAAAGCCATTTTGACCAGATAAGTAAAACCCATAATAATTCCTCTTCCTGTTAGGATCGCATTTTTAACATGAAGGATTATTTCCTCAACTGATCACGTTTTCTCATTTTGCTCTTCTCAGGGAAATTAAGGCATTTATTCAGCATCTAGCACCAATATCAGTTTTACTAAATGCTGAATAAAATGTTGTATTAATAGCATACTTTTATATTAGCATTGCGGTTCAGTTGCACAACAAAGTTCCGGAGCTAGTCTTATTTGGCGATTCAGTGCATTCTGGTTGGAATTACGATTTCGCTCAAAAGTTGAAACATACCAAAACCGTGCTCCAGCTGAATTTATGCCTTTATTTATAACGAGATATTTCATGTCCCCTTGTTGTATATGAATGTAGTTTTTATGCCTTTTTCATGTATCTTCTTAAAATAGATACTAATAATGTACTGAAACTGTTGAATCTACCCTGAGAACTCGCATTTATTCTTGCAATGTCAAGAAAGTGACTAGGCCTTAGAAATCTTTTCCTCACCTATGTAAGATTTAGTAAATTATCATTCGGAATTTTGAAAGAAATCCAGAAATAAGCCAACCTCAATTAAATATGCAGCATAACTTGCCTCAAGTAAATAACCCACGATGGGTGAATTGCAATAGGGAAAATAAATTTAGGCCCAAGCCTGTTTAGTATGGTGCGCTGTGTAGACAGCTGTGAGATGCTGTGTATTTTAGGTACAATTTGTAAGTGTGAAGTATCTCTTTCCAGGAGAGTGAATGAAGAGCTTGTGTGCATTGCCTTTTATACAAAAAAAAAAAAAAAAAAAAAAAAAAAAAAAAAAAAAAAACGGGTCCAGCTCTACCACGTCCTCTGCACTTGATTTTACTGTTATTGGTCGGCTGTCGGGAACTTTACTTTGCATAAAGCGGTTGCTCCTTAGCAATTGTCATGCAGCGTAATTCTAAAGTTGTTGTTCTCAGAATTGAGTGTAATCTGAGAAATACCGAGCTGCAAAATAAAATATCATCTCAAACTCTCATAATTTCAGGTTTAGTAAAATATATAACGATTGCAGTGTCGGAAAGTTAGAAAGCAATAAATAGTTCATAATAGTACCGTAAAAATTTGCGCCATTTTTTGTTGCTGCTGGAGACAACAATGGTTTTCGATGGATAAAATAACCGGATACGGTGACTTCACAAAAGCACTTTTATTTATGGCATCAACAACGCTCTAAAATGAGAAATGCATTTTAACACAATAATAATATAATAATAATTATTATAATAATAATTGCAGTAAAACACATACCTTAGAATGGAAAGTTTTTGATAGAGAATCCGAATGCTAAACTACGCACCTTAAAGGGAATTTTCGTCGTTAGTGTATGACCGTGATAAATAACGGGCATTCCATCGTCTCCATCCCAGCAATCGAGTTCTACACACCGGCATCCCGTTAGCAGAACCTAGTGAGTAAAGAATACTTAAAGTATTTCACTGCATACCCTAATGGAAAAGGAATACTTATATGGTTGCTCATGTCTAATATAAAATCAAATTGTTATTTCTATTAAATGTGTAGAATAATTATTTTCATATTACTTGCGAATATAACTTTGCCAAATTCCATAAAATATTTGAAAAAGGTGAACCTTTTTGAACTGTAGCGTATCACAAAATCAGTTTCGTAAGTGCGAGGAGGAAATGCATGTACACTAGAGAAATCGAAAGAAAAATTATACACGATAAAAATTTCAAATGATAACCAGTGCTAAGTAAGATTACGAAAGTTATTTTATGTCAATACGACATTACTGAATTAGAGATTCTTTTTTTATGGCAAGTCTTGTTAAGGCTACAGCTTCCTTTGAGGAATGATGCCTTTAAAAAGGACTTTCTAAAGTAACTTGACCCATATTCACATTGCGCATGAGAAATATCTAGAAAATTTTCTATGGTCAGCCATTTAATCACCAGATACAGCATCTAAGAAGAACTACTAGCGTTTTATAGCCTTAGCCAGTTGGCCACTATTCAGCCTTAAGACATGCAAGACCTTCGAGAATAACAAAAAGTGTCTTATAAGATCTTAACAATTATGTGATGCATACTCAATAAATACTCATTTACAACCATTTTTGTTTCATTTACAAAAAATTATATAATAATATATTTAGAAAAAAATCCAATTGGATTGACTAATCTTAGCTTGGAGGTGATGTAGCGACCCTTTGTTGTAGTGATTATTATATTGTAATAACGATTTTTGACTGGTTTTGACTGAAGTTTCAGGGATTGGCTTTTTTGCTTATTATATTATTATTATTGCAGGCTGTTTTGGTTATTGCTGCATTTTTTGGATTGGCTGTTATTAGGTGTTATTAGCGGCCAAATCGTAATTTTAAGTCTTAAAAATATGGGAACTGAATTCCCACTATTCACGGCTTTTTTGTTTTTACGCTATTCAATTTATAAGTATATCATATTATTATTTCGGTGCCTGATCAGTGTGTATATTTTGAAAAACAAGGTGTTAAGGGACTTAGATGTACACACCTTAAATAAAGTCTGTTTATTTGCTAAATTCAGTTACTGTCAGAAATGTTGCACATTGTATTGTAGAGACATTAGGTTAATTGGGAAAGCCGAAGAATTGAAAAATTAGCATCCGCCTTCGCCGAGAATTGAACCACGGGACCTCTGGAATACCGGCCCAGCGTGCAGAACCACTACACCACGAAGGCACGCTAGTAAAGCGGGAGAAATACCTTATAGTATTAATGTTTTCCATCCCGCTATCTTCTAATTCGAAGAAAAATATAGATATCAACAATGGAAAATAATCTCTATAATAGCACTGTTTTCATTTGGGAACAAGAGGGCCACCAGCGGCCGATCGGTGAAGTCACTAAACACTGTTGGTAGTTCGGTCCGAGGTTCGAATCCCGCAAACGGGCTGGCTGCATGGGCGTTTTCGTGGTTTTCCTCATGTGTAACGTATACGAGTCAGTTTCCCTTAGAAAGTCCTCCACGAAGGCATCCCTTCCCTTAGGCAGATAGCCCTAGTGTGCTTTGCCCTAATTAAATAAACCAATCATTTTGAAACACTTACATCTAGGTCACACATAATATTTTCACTGACTTCATTTACGCTGTAATTTCAGGAATCTATATCCCTAGAATTTCATTAAATAATTACCAAGTAAACATTTCGAAATTAAAATTTAATTTTAGGTGATGAAATTTAAAAGAATTCAGAAGTGCCTCCAAACAGCTATTCACAACGAATAATAAAATAACAATATATTAAGACACAATAACACGCCGAATAAATACTAATTCAGAAGTCAAACAACAAAAATCAGCGTTATACCTACAAAATTTTCACAGGACTAGTCCCGATGGTTGCGGTTTTGCAGCTGAAGATGATGGTTCGGTAAAACCATCGGGACTAGTCCTGTGAAAATTTTGTAGGTATAACGCTGATTTTTGTTGTTTGACTTCTGAACAACATATTATTTTTTTCGTTTCATCAAATTAGTTTACAATTAAGCTCCATTCAAATAATAAATGTATGAGTTATGACAAAAAGCTGAAAAATGATACATTTAAATAACTTTCATAAATATAACATTTTAGAAATATTACCAAGTTAATGGCTAATTAATTTTGATTATTTTTAACCTTATTTTGTTTTGTCTGTTAATTCGTAGTTTTTGATGACATGAATGACGGGTAAGTGATTAAAAAAATTATAATTTTTTTCTCTTTTATCCAAGCTAATGTATGAATTTCACACATTGTAATTTCCTGCTTGAAGCAATTTTGCAGATATTATGCTTTATAGCAGTTTTTACGATGCAGATATTCATTTAAGGACAATTTGATATTTTAACCTCATTCAACTAAACAAGTTTCGTATTACTACATTCATTTAATTTCTTGTTGGAAAGTAGCTTTGTGCGTATTTTACTGTGCTTAATATGACAGTTGCTAGCCCCTCCCGACTGGTTGAAAATAAGTAAATTTTGTAACTCTAACTGCTATATTTTCAGTCTGAAATAATTTTTTGTACCAATTTTCTTCCGCAACTGAAGCGAAAAATTATGAATTATGCTTCCCTCACAAATGCAGGGAATTTTCACCCCTACATTTTAGCTCATATTTTGCCAAAATTTATCATCAGCCTCCACAAATGTTTTCATTTTTTTATTTAAACAGTTTCGTTTTTATTAACAGTACTTTATTCAAAACAGTTAAGGGAGTATGTGATTTTGACGATTTTGTTTTCCCAAAATGGCCAAACACCTGTTTCTCAAGCAGATTTTTACCATATTATAATAAATTAAGCATATTATATGCATAATGATATTATTATTTTCCCCATATTATATCTTAAGTTCCCTAAAGGAAGCTACAAATGGAATTTTAGGTAGACAACAGAATTATGAACACTTATATGAAAACTAATCCCTGTGAGCTCGTATTACTCAATAATCAGAGGAAAATACAGTAGATTTATGAAAACCTTTGTTTTGTCACGGTTGCAGTGGTATCTCGTTTCTGTTCGAAAAACGCATTTACAACATGGCAAGAATTTTCTGCCTGGAGAGCTGGAAGCTGGTCAGACATATTAAATACTAGCAGAAAGCATTGTAGTATCAGGATGAGTCATTTCCTGACAGCTGAATCGATTCCGATGCAAGCAAAGCGTTTTTGTTCGAAGAAAAGAGCATCAAGGCTGTATAATAACTATTATAGAAAGAACTATTGTCAACAGCCTGTCGGAACAAGAGTCAAAATGCTATTTAGTCCAGTGGTAGTTTCTTCTGACAGTAGATGATACTGCCAAAAGTAGACTCGAATCGTTCGCATTCCTCTTAATAAAGTTGGCTTTCATGTACATAGAGTTGTACACACTAGTTGCATGACTCTTTAACCAAATGATAGAGTTGAGGATATACTGAAAAGAATGATGTTCCCTTCCACAAATCAAGACACAGTATGCAATCACTGAATCATTGAGTTTTTACGAAGATAAAACATGACATGCTAAATAATCCAGCTTCTACTGTTACACTGGAATGTTACATTATATATAGGAAATGATTACCTTAAAGTATAGTTTGATTTGCGAGGCAGGCATAAATACAGATCGATGACCTTACGGTATTAGCCTATGAATTAAATTCATTTTGAGTACGCATCCGAAACGGCAGCCTTAGAACTCAGAAAGCGCAGATAAAACATTTTCAGATCCATTGTGTATCGTATTCTGCAGCCGAAGTCATTGATTTTCACCTTTTTCATCACAACTGACAGAGCTTAAGCTCATTTATCTGAACTAACGAATAAAGTGGAGGGAATCGCGATCGAAAATGATAAGTATACCTCCTTGATTTAAATACAATTACATTTAGTAACAATTATAGCAGTATTTAAGTAAACAAGCACTAGTATGTTCTAAAAGGAAGCACTGTTTTAAGACCAGCATCATCATTGACTTTTCTAAAAGTTAGAGTCATTAGGTTATATCGATGCAGAAACGTAAAAATACATGCAGTACCCTCTTCGGGATCCGAATACGCGTAGAGCGTGCTTCCAGTTATACCACGAAAGCATACAGAAAGGAGGGACAAAATACCTCATAAACTGATGATATCCTTTATTAAGGAATTGCGAAAATATCCTCCCAAATTTCTCTGATAACTTCATAGATTCCATACCAAACAGTCATGAAGCGGTAATAGCTATTCAGGAAGACACAGCAACCTACTACAGCCAAATTAGCTTCTTAAAATTACAATTTTTCTTGTAGTACAATTAAGCAAATTATCATACCTCATACATTACACACACTGGTAATATGCCTCAAATACTGGTTACAACACATTGCCTCAAATATTATTAATATGGCTCAAATACTATGTTTTTCTTAACAATATTAAGTGAAATTCTACTGCCTCTTACGTCTGCAAACTTCATCCTCTGATATTGAAATTTCTCGCTATGCATGATTATGAACCTGTTATATGCCCTCTCTATTCTATAGATTAAAATTAATATTTTCTCCTAAAATTAAAGCAAAGGTTACCTAAATTAAAATTTAAAGAAATGCTATATGCTCGGTATTTTTATATCATTTATTCACATTTTTGAGATTAGTATTGATTGTTCATAGTATAAAATTTCTTTTTTCTCATTCTTTTTATATTAAAATAATACATCAGTTCCCACGAAAAGTGCTGTATGATGAAGGGATGCTGGTAACGAGGCCAAAAGTGACTCAATTAATTTCAAAATTTGAGTCAACTAACTTCTGCTCTCAAATATGTTCATTAAGCTAGATTAACTTTGAATAGTTTAAGCATGAAATATATAAAAGTTTATAGGGCATGCTAAAACTGTTGGTGCAAATTATTATTCAATTACAAAAAGTGAAAAATAAATGCACTGACTTGAATGGACCGCATATTAATCATATGTAAAATGCATATTTATATAAAAATTGTTCAGGTAGCTTGCATATTTTACACGAATTTCACATGAATTACAAACCTGACTGTAGAGTTCGACGGAGGATTCGCCTTTCAGCTGATGGCCCGTAAGATAAGTGTTATGAGAAGAAGCTATGTAGTAATGGGACAATGGGCGATCCATTGCCTGAAAATAATAAGGACAACATAAAAGAAATTTTTTAATAAAATTAATGAAATATAAAGTAATCAAACTACAAATTTTGTATAATAATGACACGGCAGAATTATGTTTACATCAGAAACGAAACTTTTTCGAATAATTGCTGAAGTTCTAAAATAAAATAAACTGATGAAATAATGCTACTTACTATTTTGTCTTCATCGATAACAACTATTAAAACTAGGTGCGATACTATATAAATATTATGGTTACTGTGTGAAATTAAAATTCTAAAGTTAAATTCGATTATTATTTGTTTAGAACCTTCTTGAGTCAGCAAATTTATCGAAACCCCGATAATCCAGCTAAATGCTGTTGTAAATAAACAAACAAACTGTAGCATAATTAAAATACATTTATTAAGCCCACAGTTCATTCTAACTTCAACTAGCATGCAAAGGATTCTTAATCCCAAAGCCTAGAAATTTCCGGTCATTCCGGCAGATCTTTGACCGAAGATCAAATCATTTACAAGACTTGCATTTAAAGTATTTAAAACGCCAGACTGGTAGTGAACTTTATCTAACAATCAGCTTTTCTTCTAATATAATACTAAATACAATCAGCTCTTCTTCTGACTAATTTTTGGTTCTCATGTGAAAGATCATGTTTTCTTTCAAGTCACTAAGAATTATTTGAAGTTAAAGAAATAAAATTGTCATTGATTCACTACAAATATCACAGAATTTTTTTGCTAAGAAATAATTTTAAAACTGTTTGAAATATTGATATAAATAACCATAAAATTCCATCCGTTATTTCTTTTATAAAATTATTTAATTGCTTAAAATTAATTGTTGATTATCAGATTCCAAAAAAATTACGCAAATAAATATCTCTCAAATGGTTGGTCGTAGACCGACAGTTTCAGTTTAAGAAACGAGTCAAGTAAGGTTGTCTTGTCAAACTGTCGGTGTGACGGGTGCGATATGGGCTGATATGGTTACAGAATCGCATTATTCCTAGTGTGGAACATCTGTTGGAAGGTGAACAGGTGAATGCAGGGCATACATGGTCATAGAGGTCACATACATGATTATACAGGGGCTGCCACAAAACATAGATTTGCATAGATTTAGATGCTTGAAAAAAATGCAAACATATACTTTTGGGAACATAAGTATATGTATGATTTTATATTCCATCAGGTATACTACAATTGGTCAAACATATACTTAATACATACCATAATATATACATATCATAGCACGTACATATCATTTACATATATCCTGTTATTAAACACATATATACTATTAAATACGATAAATATTGGAAAAACAGATGCCCACGAAAAAATCATATTCATACCCCGACATATACACACCATGACATATACGAGCCATACATATAGATCCAACTATTATTTAAACATATAACGTACTATTAAATACGAGAAATGCTGAAACAGCATATACATACGATGAATAAACCTATACATTCTAGTAAATGTGATAAATATTGGAAAAGAAGGTACACCTTGCACAAAAGTAAAATGGGACAGTTCTATATCATCCGTTCTACTGGACCGATTGTCGAAATTTAACTTGCGTTTTCCATGCCTTGAAAGCGCGACTTAGGATATATATTAGATTTGTATATAGTATTGTTCTAACATGGGTACTTTGATACAAATCGGACGTTTTCTGAAATAACATACCAATTTTTTTTCCATATAGTATCTCCTTTTTTATTAAACTTATTTGATTCTTCCTTTCAAATTTCGAAGTGTAGGTTCATTCCAAATAAAATTCGCAGATATTTATGATTTATTTTTAAATTTGTATTTATAAAAAGTTTATAAATTAAAAAAAAATTAAATTATAACCTATAAATTTTTTTACCATCATCTTAAAGTAGATGTATTTCTAAGCATACCTGCAAAACATTAGAGTTTTTTATTCAAAATGTCCTAAGATACACGTGAATACTTGTAACTTTCGGGAATACTTGTATTGGGGCGTTTTGAAATTTGGAATATTTGTTATAAGCGATAATAACGTCAAATATGGTTTATGCTCTTTGGTAATGTGCTTTTATAATGTTTGTTAATGCGAATTATTCTTGGCGCAAACTGGAAAAAATGCGCCACGATAAATTTTTAAATTTTTCCACAAATTTGTCACCAAAAATTATAAAATTTAATATCTAGGCATAATTTGAGAAGTAGAACCGAAATATGTAAAAACATTGGTATTGTATTTCAGAAAAATATCGATTTTAATTTTATGTCAAAATGTTATGACATTATGTTAGAACAATGCTATATACAAATCTAATATATAGGCTAAGTCGCGCTTTGGAGACATTTCAAATGCAAGCTATATTTCGACAATCGGTCCAGTAGAACGGGAGATACAGAACTGTCCCATTTTTTCCTTGTACAAGGTGTACATACTAAACATCATGTATATACCTTAACTTATACATATTACGATATATGCATGCCATGCACATATATCATACTATTGTTTAAATATATACATACTATTAAACACGATGAATATTGGAAAAACATATACATACTATAGTATATACTATATCCTGCTATTGTTTAGGCCTACACGTTCAATTAAATTTGATAATTAAGGAAAAAACTGGCATATAAGCATAATCATGTACATACGTTAACGTATACTATGTATAACCATGACATATACATGCCATACACATATATACTACTTTTGTTTAAACATATACGTACTATTAAATACGATTAAAATTCGGAAAACAATTACATACAAAAACTCAGAAAAATACCATAACATATACATAGAATATACATATATCCTGCTATTATTTAAACATATACGTACGAGAAAAGACATACCCTAACATATACATATACATGCCATACACTATTGTTGAGACACAAGCATTCTATTTGACATGGCAAATATGCACCTTGGAAAAAAACGTGTACATAGGCTAAACATATACACGCCGTGACATATACATACAACACACATATTCTACTATTATATAAACATATATATTCTATTTGACATGATTAATATTGGTAAACTTATAGCTAGGAAGAATCCTACACAAACCGTAACAAATCTATATATATAACTACTATTTAATGAGAGACACATATTATCACTACAGTGCCTGGGGGCCCCATAGATCCTGTCCTAAATGCCTACAGTTTATCTACCATACGCTTTAACTTGCTGACTACTGCTGGCTGCCTGATGCACAGGCTTTGAATGAAAGCTCATCGTTAGGAAGAGGCATGCGCCACTCTTCCGTTAGCCAGACATTCCGGTAAATAGTGTTCTGGCATGCCCAATCCACTACACACACACAGGCATTTGTGGGAGATATCCCCCTTTTAAAGAAATATTTTGGAAAAGGTTCGTGACCTGTTATATATCTGGTCAGCTGAGGAATAGACTAAAGACGATCCGTTGTTACTTTGTGACAGAAGTCCACCTTGTGGTATTTCGTCCCATTCCTCCTATCACTTTCGCAATGCAGACTCCTATACTTGCCTCTTTAGGTGAGATTTTGGCAGCAGAATGGACAGCTCTTCCTCAGCGCTGATATTGCGAGCTGCTATCTTGGCTAGCTCGTTCCCTTCCTCTTTTCCCTGGTGTCCTTTATCCAGGAGATAAGGATGCTGGTTGAGCGATGCTGATCTCTTAAAAGACATTGAACGTACGCTATTAGCGGTGCCTGGTGATATGGATTCCGGACGGCAAGTATGGTGGACAGGCTGTCAGTGATGATATGAATTTTGTGGTTCTCATCGTGCCTCGCTGGTAGAATGGCTTATCGAATTGCCTCCTGGAACACTGACTTTCCATGACCCCCATAGTCCTGCCATGTGTCTAGAACATCTGAATTATGTTTGGTGACGTAGCTGCAGCCTGTTGCTCTGTCAATTTGGGAACCATCCTTATAGAGGGTGAGGGTGTTGGGTCCTGCGTCTCGTCATTGCAGCATTGTTGTACGCGTATGCATTCCTTTTTCATATAGCGCTGGGTGAATGCTGGTGATTGAGGAATTGCACTTATAGTTTTCTGGAGAGAACTAGAGATCTCTGTAGGACACGGCGCTCTTTAGCAGCGCGACAGTCGTAATGATAGCCTCCATTTCAGCTTGTATGTGCAGAGGGATGACTCCTGCAAGTAACACAACGGCAGCCGTCGAGGTTGTTCTGTAAGCCCTGGTCATGGCCAGTAAGGACGTTGGGCGCTGTTCAGGATCTTCACTTTTCTGGTATTCATGGGGATGACCCATATCGCCGCTCCATACATGAGGGAATTTCTTCGCCACTGTGATATAAATAATTTTAAAAATATGGAGCCATTGTATGTTCTTTAGTAAATTGGCAAAATTCTGGGCTTTTGCTCTCTGGGCCCAGGGATGAGGAATCCAGGAAAGCTCTTCGTATAAGGCCAAGGAAATTTTAGTTGTTGTTACTTATGCTCTCACCCGCCCCCAGTTTTGATGCAGACCACCCCGGGGGGGTTCGAGGGTTTCCCAAACCTCTCCCTTTCCACCAAACCACACGAGAGGACTTGCCGCATATTTAGAGTGCCGCCATGCCACGCCGAAACTATACATTTTCAAACGTCCATGCCTTCACCGGAATTCGAACCCGGGCTCTTCAGCACGGCAGTCAGTGACTCTAACAACTATATCGGTTGGGCAGCGTTTTAGTTCCTTGACTCATTTAACGGTACGGTTTCTCAATTGGATACAGAGATTCCGTAGAATCATCTGGCTGAGCTTGTGAAAACAGGTATGTTTGGATTTCTGCTCTGCAATTTTTAATTTCTTCTCACTACAGAGCCTGTCGAACATTTCAATGATTTCGATGCAATGCTCTTGTAGAATGTCCCGACTGTGCCGTCTGACTATAAAAGTGGCGTCATTAGCAAACAATATTGCTTTTGTATGCGCAGGCCACTGAGCCCTCAGAATTGAGTTGAACGTAACGTTTCACAGGTCTGGACCGGCACATGAAACTTGCGGACAGCCTGGGGGCTGCTGCCTGTAAATGACTTCTCGTTTGTGGACCGCAATGAACATTCGTTCGCTGAGGTAACTTTAGAGAATATGAAAGATGTTATCGGGGATTGCGGCGGTGTGTAGGGCCTGAAGAATTGCCGGCCACCACAAGGAGTCAAATGCACTTTGAAGGATCAGGCTGAGGACTGTCAAGTGGTGCTTGTTAGATTTTGCCTATAAAATTTCCTTCTTAAAGAATTCTAAACCGTTAAAGGTTGATCGTCTTCTCTGAACCCAGAGTTTCTGTGATCACTTTGCCGTTTAATACGATGATGCTTGAGACGCGCTATGACCAGTTTTTCATACACCTTCCTCAATGCTGACAACAGGCATATTGGGCGAAAGTAGGTTGGATCATTAAGGTCTTTGTCAGGTTTAGGGAAGAGAACTATTAGTTCCATCTTGAATACTTTCGGTAAGTAGCAGAACTCTAGTAGCTTATGGAACAGCTTGGTAAGGAGTCCAGATTTTGCCCTATGAAACGCTTTAACTATATTGTCCAGCGAATCTGCGCCCGGAGCCTTTCGTTTAGGCAGTTACGCAAAATTGCCTTGATCTCTGCATCTTGGAATTGGGCGTCGAGTGGAGTAGTTGTGTGAAGCGCAAATGCTGCGTGCAAACTCAGGTCTGAGTTGTCATCACTGTTTCCTGGAAAGACTGCATCCAGAATACTGTTAATTGTAGACTCCATGGGGCTTGCATTTCCTTACAGTGTGTCATCATAAGTATGATACTGTGGCGGTCTGTAGACGTTGTCACGTGCTATTTTGAAGAGTGCATGTTTGTAAAGTTGGTGCAATATTTGCCGCCAGCTCAATTTGGCTCTTAAAATGGTCTTTTTACTACAAGGCTTCAGCTTGGCCGTAGGCTATACTTAGCTCTTGCCTGATCTGGTCCCGTTCTGTTTTCCTTCTTCTTCTCATTACACGAGTACGGCTGCACTGGGCTCTGAGGAATTTATTCCACCAGTTGGCAGCATGTTGCGTTTTCAGGGCTTTCAATGGGAAGATATTATCGCAGAGGTACTGAAGTATGGTAATAAGGGAGTTGGTAAACAACTCCACTTCTCCGGCAGCGTTCCAGGCTGAGTGATTCTCTTCTTCATTTGAGGTGGTGTTACGTACCCTGTAAATGAATTGGGATATCTTGCGTTTTGTGAGCTGGTCGTGCATGCGGATGACTAACCCTGGGAAGCGGTATACCTGTGGTCAGAGTTCGAAGGAGTGTCCGGTACGGTCCAATGGGCTGGATACGTGAGGCTAGTGCGTCTGTGGACAGGGTCAAATCGACCCATCCCTGACCGTGGATGGTATCATACTTCAGGATGCTGTCCAGCATATTGTGAGGCGAGAGATCGATACTGGCGACAAAGTCCTCAATTGTTCTTCCTCTTGACTCCGTGTTGGAATATCCCCATGCATCTGAATGCGCATTAACGTCGCTTGCGAGCAAACGATGGATGATAGGATATTTCTCAAGAGTGTTTTGGATTAGCTCCAAGGACTCAGTCATGTCTGCCGTAGGACAGCCTCCATTTCAGCTGGTATATGCAGGGGGATGAGTCCTGCAAGTACTGCAGCAGCAGCCGTCTAGGTTGTTCTGTATACCCTGGTCATGGCCAGTGCGAGCGAAGGGAGGTAGGTATGACTTTTGTGCAAGATGGCGCTCAAACTCATAATGCTAAACGTGTGAACCGCATCGTTCGAGGAATTTAGCGCGCTGAGCCGCCACTTCCTTCATGCTTGGTCTTTCAGATCCCCATTTTTCAATCCGTATGATTTTTGATTTTGGGGTTACCTGACATCGCAAGTATATCACGATTGTCCGACCTCATTAGGGATGCTAAAAGACAACATCCGACGGCAATTTCTCACCATATGCTCTACTGTGCTGCTCACAACATTCTCCTTCCACTACAGGTATTGTTGATGAATAGCGGCCGACATGTTGAACACTTGTTATGAGGACCATAGTCTTTCCTAAAAATCAATTGTTATGCTAATTATTTCTTTTGTCATCATAAGAAGCTCCATCTGTTGGCCGTTTTAAGCACTTCTTTTGCTTTCAATAACTATCCATGACATTTCAAGCATGTATGTAAGTTTTTACCTCTCTGCCTACATTATTCAGTAAATTATTGAATCTTCAAATCTTAACCGACTTTTGGATCACCTTGTATAATAAGAATGCTTACATTTAATCTGAAGGTATCAAAAAGGTGTGCATTATCGTTCTTCTAATCTTAAATCCTAATCTTAATTCGTCCAGTTTCAATAAAAATTATAATCACAAATTGAGCTGTAATTTTTTTGCGCAAACGTTTGATGCTTATTACTTTAGGAAAAGAAAGTGTTATTGCATATATGTTACCAAAGAATTTGAATAAGGTTTCCTATTCATATTTCTTTGTGTTACACCTCTTTAAAATGCATCTTTGGAAAATCACTGGTTTTTCAAAAAAGATTAAAATAATTGAAACTGTATGACACTTTTTAAATGTTGTAGTTGATCGAGTTTATGAAATGATAAATTAAAGCTAGCCAGTATTGATAAACGCTACTGACAACAAGTTAGAATGGAAGGTAAAATAAACTTACATCTTCTTCTGGATTGAGGGTTTCAGGAAGAAATGCGTAATTACACTTATCCATGAGGTACCTTGCAAATCCTTCAAACGATAAGCAGCACTTATTACGTAGCTCTGCATCTGGCTCATGGCGCTATTGAGAGAGTAAAAAACATTATACAGAAGCCGTTTTAGAAGCATTTGATTTGCTATTGAACTAAAGTAATGAAGTAATATGATGCAATTATACTACACAGTAGCATAATAAATTAAATACATGCACCTTCGTGTATTTTGCATACAAATATGTTAAATGCTCATAAAACACAACCCGATAACGATATTTATTGTCTAAGTATATAACAGTCTTTATAATGTCGCCTAAGTATAAGAGAAAAAGGAATTGTTTTAGAATACCCTATGTAGACAGTCTGAGTGCCATTTAAAACTGAGATGAAGGTTTGTAGTATTGCTCACAAAAGTAGAAACTTCGAAAATCAAAATTGTTATTTCTAGTCTAAACTGCACTCAAGTTGAGTCATATTATAGACCTGGTTAGAAGGTTAGTGCATGGGTCCTTACGGCTTAAAAATGCGATGAATAAAAAATATCACCACGTTCAATAAGCAGTTTCAGAGTACTATTGAAGATAACAAAATTCTGAATTTGCGTCCCAATCAGGTACAATTTTTTTTACACGATTTTATTACTTTTAACTATGTCAAAGGTTATATTGAACATATATAGAATTTCAATGCAATTTTTCTATAGTTATTATTTAGACTAACTACATATATAAACTGTTGCGATATTATGTAGTTAGGTTTCGTTATTTGTCGAAAATTAATCTTTTTTAAAAGATTGCGAAAATAAAAGTCGGTTTGTTTTGGTTTGGTTTGGTTTTATTAGATTACGGCATCATGGTTGCCAGCCGACTGATATCGCATAGTGTTCAGCGATGAATCCCTTTTCAGTCTTGGAGCAGATGATCATCGGGTCCGTCTGTAGAAGACCCAAGGTCCGAGTGCCAGTGTCCCAGTTAATCTTTGTTTTACAGGGGCAAACAGACATTACTTCTGTTGCCAACATCCTGCGGCTGTTACGCTTCATGGCACGCCCTCCTAGAGCTATTTTCTAACAGAATAATGTTAGACTCCATACGGCTCGCATATTTGATATCTGTGGACTCTCTCCGAGCAGTTAATACTTTTTCTTGTTCTGCAAGATCACCAGACTTTTCGCCAATTGAAAGGCTAGCCAAATATTTAGAGTGCCCCTCCCTGCCGTAAACACTATCAAACATCCACGCTTTCTTTGGGATTCGAACCCGCGCCCTCCGGTACCGCAGTAGGCTCCCGAATCCACTATACCGTCTGGGTGGCTTAGAAATCTTTATCACTCCTTGCCTCAACGTTTACAAGCATGCATCGCTGCCAAAAGGGTTTCACCAGTTACTGATTTGAAAATTCAATATGCAGTTGCTAGCCACAGAAGGGTCCTGCGGTTTTGAATTTTTTATCATTCTATTACCTGTATATGAGATTTACGCACATTCAATTACAATTAAAATCTGTTACCTTTTTCATGGTATTTTTTTCCTCCCGAAAGAGTGTTTTTAATCTGTTAGTTACAGTATTAGTTTCTGCTTTTTATTACAATTTGCTTATTTATTATTTTTTTGTTCCATTTAAAACTGTGTCTCGTATCTAAACTGTGGATGGCATATTTACATAATTCCTGTCTAGTTTCCAAGGTATACCGGACTAATGAGCCTTGTTTAAACTGAAGAATTTATATAAGTAAAGCTGTTCTATGCAGTTAAAAAGTTCTGATTTGTTGTTAAACAAAGGCCTGGTAAATTTGTATGTAATCTGTTTTAAGGAAAACATTTAGCCATTGAACAATATGCTTGCGATTTTCATTTTTATTACTAATCCTCTGACAAGGTACTTAATACGAAACTTACTTGTATAAGAGCAGCCACTTCTTCTTCTGTTTTCGGCTCCCCTTGATGGTCACTTAAAAAGCGCTGGAAATCTTCAAGTCGAAGCACAAGCGTTCTTGATGTATCTACACCAGCGCAGTTGGATACAATACTGGCTGCAGCAATAGCATCATAAATTCTTTTACGTTGGATACTATCCACGTAATCTGAAGGTGTATTCCTAGTCAGCAGTCCTGTCATAATGATACTTTGAATGAATGTTTTCTGAATCTATAGTGAAAAGAATTTAATTTGCCATGCAAAATTAAACTTACCTAGAAATTTTTTTGAAGAACCATATGGTTCTTTTAAACTAGCACTGCGATCGAAATTATAATTTTCAGGCAACCCCTTGTAAGGTACCGCAACTTGTTCAAACAGACAGCGTAGATCTTTCCTTGATCTAACCAAAAATGATCTGAATAATTCAGTAAACTGAATGAAATCCATTTGGCTGGAATGTGTTATGACTGGTCCACAGGCTAAAGGAGGCGAATCACCTGTATGGCCTTTATCTTTGCTGAAAATATAAATGATGCAAATATTGTAACGTACATGCTGTGTACATCTGAATTCAATTAGATATTTATGGCAAAGCACACAAGAAATTTCATGTTATAAATCTTCATAAAGGGGAGGAAAGGTTAAGGAAACCATCTCATATTCATTTAACACATGAGAAAAACTACAGAAAACATATGCAGCCAGCCAGTTCCATTATCAGTAAAAGAATCTGAAGTGAATTGCCAATATTTTGGTGTAATCCCTCGGCCAGAAGTCGACTATTCCAGGCGGAATGTGTGGAAACTAGTATTAGTTGAAATCACAATAGGCTCTGCTAAAACAGAGTGAAATTTAAGGTCTTTTCCTTTGCTTATGGCTGATTTAGGTTTCGATAGTGGGATTTTCACGAATACGCTGGCTAAACACTTCAAAAAAGTGTTTATTGTTTTCAGTAAGTGGATTTTTTGTCCTGGCAAAGTAAAAAGTATTGCCACTTTGGAGAAATACTTTTTGCAAACGATCTAATGAAATAAATGCACTGCTTTATTTTGAATAATTAAGGCCTTTTTTAATTAAACAAGTGCGCAAGTTTCCAGCTGTGTTCCAGTGTGCAAGTTTTTGCTGGGAATCATGAACTATCCTTCCTGTAGCACTACTTAATGCATGGCAGTTGCGAAGCGATTTCTTTGTGTGTATTGGATGTTTATATGCATTTAAAATATTCCAATTTCAGAGCGTTATAGCACTCAGCGTATTCTGTATTGTATATAACAGTGTGTAATCGCATATATATATAGGTAAATTGTATGTAACAGTGTATAATTGCAAATATCAGTGTAAGTTGTGTTAATTGTAATACTCATGCATTGGAAAGTATGCATACGTTATGCTTATGAAATGTGTAAAACAAGTTTTCCTTATAGATAGTATATTACAAATTTCTTGTATGTGGTCTAATGCATTCTTAAATACTGTAATCACTGTAAATGTTATATTCCTCATATCATTAGTATCAGCAACATGTATGTTATGTAACAGGCACGCTGAAGTATGTAAGAAAAGGTATGTTAATTCTACAATGTATTGGATGCATATATACATTTAAAATATTCCAATATCAGAGCGTTATATATCAGTGTATTCTATATTGTATGTCACAGTGTGTAATCGCATATATATATGTAAATTGTATGCAACAGTGTGTAATCGCAAATATCAGTGTGAGTTGTGTTAATTGTAATATTCATGCATTGGAAAATATGCATATGTTATGCTTATGAACTGTGTAAAACAAGTTTTCCTTATAGATAGTGTATTTCAAATTTCTTGTATGTGGTGTAATGTATACTTAAATACTGTAATCACCTTTAATGTTATTTTCTCCATATCATCAGTATCAGCAACATGTACGTTATGTAACAGGCACGCTGAAGCATGTAAGAAAAGGTATGTTAATTCTACAATGTATTTAATGTATATATACATTCTAAAAATATTCCAGTATCAGAGCGTTATAGCACTCGGTGTAGTAAGCGATAAGCGCTTATTGCACCGAGAATTGTATGTAACAGTGTGTAACCGTATATATATAAGTAAACTGTATGTAAGAGTGTGTAATCGCAAATATCAGTGTAAGTTGTGTCAATTGTAATATTCATGCACTGGAAAGTATGCATACGTTATGCTTAAGACACAGATATCAGTGTATTATCGTTCTTAGTGAAAAACGTATTGTGTGTATCAGTATATAAATGCAAGTATTCAAATATCAGTACCAGTGTTGGCCTGTATATAAATAATCCAGAGTCAGTATGTAATCGCACTCAGTGCTTACTACTCTGTACGTAACAGTGTGCAACCGCAAATATCAGTATTAGTTATGCAAATCGTGATATATTTATGCATATGAAAATATGTCTACATGTATTAATGCCATATGTGGTCATCAGTGATCATTTGCTGTCTATTGTCAATGTCATCGGTCAATTAACTGTATTTATCAATGTCACGTGATGTCATCTGTGATCATTTGCAGTCTTTTATTAATGTAAACGGACAATTATGTACCCTTCTCAATTATGTGTATTCCAAAGCATATGTAAATTTTAAACGCCCCTGTATGGCCATGTAGCATCTATTGTTAATGAATCAATAAATACTGGACCCGGGCAATTTGGACGGGAGTCTGCCCGGTGGTATTAGGTGGCAATTGGTTCGCAGAACGGCCAAACGGTTGGTTCAGATGTTGGGTCTGAGCGTCCTGCGCGGGCCACACATGTGGCCCTCTGGTCAAACTCTAGATAAGGGTGGGCGTGGCACTATACTAATTAACTTATTAGTAAAGGGGTATTGGTCACGTCCTCCGTCGCTTATCGCTTATCGCTTCCTTGTTCCTTAAAAAGTATTGGCATTGTCTGGTATCCATTTTGAGTCGGATGTAGTTTCAAAATAAAAGTCCAGACCTAATTCTATGTTCTACATCAAGAGGTTTAGAAAGAAGGAATATAAAGATTGGCTGTTCAATGAAATAAGTGTTTTGATAGCTATGGCGAATATTTTGAATACCCTGGTATTACAAAAGATTTCTACTACTCTCTACCTCTTTTCTGAATGCCTTATTTTCTCGAGAATTTTGTTGCATCTTAAGATACCACTGCCATACTCAGCTACTACTTGGATTATACGGATTGCAATCTTGTAATCTTACTTTTAGCTAACACGTTATTTTTATGCTAATTCTTTCCTATCCTTTTTGTTCCTTCCGTCAGCCTTAACCGGTATGCAAATTAAGTTTAGTTTAAACAGGGGACGAATTTGCAGTTTAGAGAAACAACTTCGGCATACAAGATAGAGAAACAAGATACCAGTGGATGGCATACAAGTGGACGGCAAGTGGAGATACAAGTGGATGGCAAGGAGCCATCCACTTGTATGCCGATGTGATTCTTGTGAGCGATTTTTTGATTTCTTAATGTTTAGGGCTAGAAGGTTTGAACAATTACAGCCATGTTAGTTAGGCATTAAAGCTATTTGTAGTGTTGTGTATATCTAAGCATTTGCATTTCGAAAATTCCTCAAGTAGTAGTAAATACGTTTTGTTAAATTTTAGTGTTTTAATTAAGTTTTTTCACTTTTTGTCTGTATTTGAAGAGTTTTAGACTCTTAATTAAGTATAAAGAGAGGCCAAATACCCGTAAAAACCCATAAAAAGAAACCCGTACGGTTGTACAGGCACCCATAGGCCAAATACCCGTAAAAACCCATAAAAAGAAACCCGTACGTTTGTATGGGTACCCGTAGGCCAAATACCCATAAAAAACCTGTAAACAGAAACCCGTAAGACTGTACGGATACGAGTAGGCCAAATCTCTGTAGAAACCTGTAGAACTGTAGGCACTATAAACAAAATCCCAGTAAAAACCCATAGCCAAAAATCAGAACTTTATATGCATATCCATTGGCCAAATTTCCATTAAAAAAATGGATATTCCGTAGGTCTATGCCTTGTAAAAACCAGTAGACAAAAGCATGTACACCTATACAGGCACCCATACGCCAAATCCTGTAAAAACCCCTACACAAAATTCCACAGACCAATAAAGGTACCTCTTGGAAAAATCGCTGCACAAAACAAACCAAAACAGAACCAATAGCATTATACCATAGTGGAGTATCCATACATAGAATCGTACATAGAACGGGTATCCATATACAGAATCCCATAAAAAACAATACACAAAAATAGAAAGTAATACACTGTCATGTAAAGATTAAATTCATGTCATATGACTCTTACATAATTTGATAAAGAATAAAATGTAAAAGAAACTAAAACTCAAACAGCCAATAGTAATTTTACAGCAGTATTAACTATCAAATAAATACGAGTAAAAATGCATCGAGAACCAAAATTAACTCGGTCTGAATTAAGATTTCACCCTTAACATAACGCATTTGCTTTTTACGCTTTGGCCTATTAGCTGGATTGCAGTCTGTCTGCTCCTTGTTTCTTACTACACATTTATCAAAAATGTTAATTTTTGGAATAGGCATAAATAATGTGCCAACTTGTTTGTGGCTGCAACATATTTGCTGAAAGAAAAGTTGAATTAAATCTACCTCGACTGCCAAATTTCTTATTCATTGTGGATTGGAGTTTCAACATCTCTAAGCCATCAAAATTCTTGCTGTTCATTACGGATTCAGCTGCTTGTATTCGACTACAGAATCTATTACATATATATATATATCATTTCATTTGATGGTTGCGAATCATTACTTTGACTGTATATATATTATTGATTTCATTATAAATATATACATATAGTACTGTACCTCACTGCATATATTTGTATTTCAGTTCTTTAATTGGGAAATTAAACAATTGTATTTAATCACATCAGCTTGTTTAACAATTTGATACCTAATGAGAAATGTATTGCCAAAGGATGGTACTTTCTAGCATCTGCTTAAATTTTAAGTTACCTACAATGCACTAAACCAAATTAAAAAACAAAACTAGAAGAAACCCAAATTTTCAGGAAGAGAAACATTATTAACAAGCAAGCAAAAAGAATACGGGACTTGCAAATTAGAAACTTAACATAGAGTTCAAATTTAGCATACTTGCTATCCCCTTAAAGCTCGCTTACCACTGATAGTAACACCCTGCAGTTTATTATGACACGCATACACATAGATGTTTTGCGTTATGTTATAGATTTTATATAAATAAAATCTATAACATAATGGGTTTATTTATACTATATGTAGTATCTTGATGTATAAAAATATATAAATCTTTCGTACTGTAAAAATTCCATCTATGTGAATAAGTATGAATATACTCATATACACATAATTATACTAAATAACTAATTTAATGAAACTAAATTCCTATAGAAAAATGGGGAAAGTGTAGAATCGCCCACTGCTTGGCGTGTTTTTAAGAATTGCACATACTCGGTATCCATGTACACATCGACCTATTTTCACTTAAAAAAACAATCTCAGAATTGCACAAAAATGCCATTGCGGCACTCCTTTGACTTTATTCATGTACACATCGAACCTATTTTCACTTAAAAGTCAAAAGAAAATTGACAAAAATCCAATTCCTTTTACTTTTGTAAAAAGTGCCAAATAAATAAGTGGGCGATTCTGCACTTTACCCGAAAAAATATATAAAAATACCATTTACCTATATATATAATAATTATTATTAATTTTATATATTACACACAAGCATTTAGTAAAATTTAAAAGTACTGAAAAGGTAGCTATTGTTTTTGACAGTAGATTATATAATATAAAAATACCTCATGCTGAGCATTTTCTGAAATTACAATGCCAAATGAAATTTATATAGTGCAGTATTTAGCAATAATAACTTTTTGTAAAATGTAGCTATAATGTGGCTATATATTCGCTATATTCGTAATATGTCAATTTGTAATTTTGTAACTGCATTTGCTAATTGTAAGACAGTAATTTTAACTGCATTTGTATAAGGCTGTACAGAAGATTTATTTATATGGGTTTTCATCCGCAGAGAACAACCGGATTCTCTGTGGAAGTGCTTCCGAAAATAATGTTTAAATATTACTCTAACTATATTTGAAAGCAATGCTATAACAGTGCCCTTATAAGACTCATGATCCGAAAAGCTTTGGTTTTAATTGTCTCGTAAAAACTTTCAATTACTTCTGCAAAATTCATACCCACGTAAAAATTACTACACCGAAGTCAATTGATTATACAGCAAAACGTTCCTAAAACAATCAACTCCACAATTCGAAGATAATGCCAGTTTCCTGTAGCCTGACAAAACTATGAATGATTTTTTAAGTCCTGTTATTTAATTATTGTCCTGACAAATGTGCCATTATCAGAGGTGGTCATTTAAGAAAATAACCACTATATGAGGTTTCAACTTAATGTAATTTTTTTCAAATAAATAATTCACTTTTTATACTCCCAAGACTAGTACATTTAATATTACATAAATCTTATTCACAAATCTACTTCTATTTCAAAAGCAATTTATGAAAAACACATTTGAAATTTTCTTCATCAAACTAATAATAATGAAAATTAAAGTATGCATAAAAATGATTATATGTGTTTTAACAAAATAGCACAAAATATTTAATGTAAAAATGTGGTTCTAGTCTCATACTTGTAAAGAAAAATAGACCAAAAAGAAAAACAATGTAAGCTACTATGATTATCTAAATTTTCACATAATTTCAGTAGTGGAAAAAAGATTCCTTAAGCTTGAATGTCTTGTCTACCCCATTCAATAAGTAATGAACACATTAAATATTTCAATGTTTACTTCATTAATAAAACTTAACCTTTTTTGCTCGCGAAATATAATTAGTACATTTTTAAGACATAAAAAAACATTCTTTTTGCTCGGCCATATCACATTAGTCGAAAAATTGAAAATTGAATCATGCAAGATCATTTTTAAGTAAGGTATGCTCAAATTTATTAGTACATAATATTCAAATGATAAAGCATCTACATGAACAAGCTTTAAAAAAGTATTTCTAAACTGTAATAAAAAAAAAAAATTTTCCAAAATACAGTTTCAGTAGAATGCAAAAACTATATTTCTGCATCTGCACACTGAACCAAATTATCAAGTCTGAAATTATCACTTTTCAGTCTTTAAGCACATTGTTTTTCAGGATAAAAGTAAAGATGGAAAATCAATTTCACGCTCAGAAACTCCATTTCACAACTAGTCAGTTATCAGCAACGTTCTCTCAAACATTAGACACGATTACACGTGCATGGCTTTAGTGGTATATTCATAGTCAGTGCTGGTATTTTATTATTTATTACTAATTTCTAAACAGTAAAACATAGTAAAATTTGTAATACAGTAAATCCTAGTAAATAATATATTGCATTACTACAACCACGAAGAAAATAACACCACCATCGCACAACAATAACTAGAGCGGCGCCATATTGCTTGTTTGGGAAACTTCTGAGAGTGGGGAGAGGGAGGGAGGAATTTTTTTCCCTCACGTCAGCGTTAACAGGGAGAAAAGTTTTGCGATTGTGAATGAACTTGTTCGCGTTAAAGAGATGTTGGTTGATACCGGTTGATTAAAGTGTAAAGAGATAAATTAAAATTTAATAAGCGATTTTTTATATAATTTTTATTGCTAAAATGAAATTTTCTAGATCAAATTTCTATTAAAATTATTGTTCCGTTACATAAAAAAGTGCCCGAGCCTTCTTATTCAGTGGTGTCCGGCTATTAGAATATATCCAAAAAACTAAGAAGTACCGGAGCCGGACTCCGGTGGGCTCCGGTGCAATTTAAGCTCTGCGTTAAAGAGATGTTGTTTGATACCGGTGTTTATTTGTAATATCAGAAATGTAAGTGCTTATGTGTGTGTATTCAGAGAACCAACTCGTAGCAAAACCCACCTCCCTAAGACGACCGCCTCTGAAAGAGACCAGTATTTCTGAAAACATAAGTATACTTTGGTATTGAATATTCCCTCTGTAAGGCGACCATTCAGAAAGAAAATTCTGCGAGTGTGGCCGGTCGCCTTAGAGAGATTCATTCAGTAGATGCAATCTCCCTAAGACGACCACCTCTAAAAGATAAACGTATCTCTGAGAACGTGAGTATATATTGGTATTGAGCATCACCTCTCTAAGGCGACCACTTGCAAAGATGAATTTTTATTTGCGGCTGGTCGCCTTAGAGAGACCTCGTTGTGTGTGGTGTATATGATTACTGTTATTGTTTCCGAAAAAAATTTTAAATCAAATAAATAAGCATATTTAGTAAAAACCCTCTCTAAAACGACCACCTGCGTTTCCAGGTTACTCTGATGGTCTTAAAGAGATCATATTTTCATTCTGTTAATTTTATTGTTTACAAGAAGTCTATTAACGTCAGATAAAAAAATAGCATAAACCCATATAAACCAACAGAAGATTTATTATTATATTGATACCAGTAAGAAAACCAGTAAAAGTCAATATAAACCTATACAAACCAGTACAAAGTTCTGCCATTGAAATGTTGGTTGTATGGGTGTCAATTGATACCAGTAAGAAAAACCCACAGAGATCAATAGAAACCAGTAAAAGTCAGTAGAGACCATCAAAAATTCTATAGGTACCAGTAGAAAGTTTTACTGGTTTCTATGGGTCATTTTGAAACCAGTAAGAAAACCCCACAGAGACCAACAGAAACCAGTAAAAGTCAATAGAAACCCATAAAAAGTTTTACTGGTTTCTATGGGGAATTTTTAACAGGGAAGGCACTGCTTCACTTGACAAGAGCTTAAAAATTTATTCTTGATAAATTAAGTATATCAATACATTATTTCATTTAGTAATATAATATTAAGTGTAGTAAAAGACAAAAAATGTAAGTTATGTTTCTCATAAAATGACTAAAATGTCTGTATATAGTAAAGAAAAAAAAAATTACTGCCTCCAGTACTATAAAAGTTAAAAATCTGAAAATTTTACAAAGATAACAAGATTAAGCTGAATATAACACACTTTCTGTTAACATTTAAAATATTTATAAATATTTTAAATGTTAATAGAAAGAAATATGCCTTATTTAGAAATAAGGCATGCATACTACCCAAGAATTAATACACGAGGTGGCGAAATATAAACGCAAGATATACAGTGATATGATGTAATGTTAACTTCCACATTTACATAAAAGAAAAAAAATATAATAAACGAAGAAACGTGTAGTGATAAAATGTTATAAAAATACACATTATTAAAGAATAAAAAGAGAAAATCAAAATAAAATGAGTATATTTTAACTTCCAGACGTATGCAGCCAGATAAAAATCTGTAGCTAACAAGGAGAAAAGAAACTTACTACATTCTAGTTAATATAGCATTTAAAGTCAATACAGAACATTCAGATTTATGTTTGGACATGAAAAAATTTATTTAAGCTTGCTTGAAGAAATTATAAAAACAATTACCTGTAACTGGAGCTTAACGTGATAGACGGAATGTTTTGTGAAGGGGCATCAGAATCATCTGAAGTATCCCGGGATTTTAAGTGAGATAGCTTCGATCTGAGTAAGGGACTCATTCTGGAACATTCGCCGAGCGTTTCCGAAGCTAGGCTTGACTGAGATTTTGGACTACAGTCCTAGAAGAAAAATCGTTCTTTGATTCTTGATGAATGCATAACTATATTTGACTAGTTACGTATAAAATGGTAAATAACTTAAGTTACATAAAGAAATTATACTTAGAACCTTGGTAAAAGCATAAATATATTTGGTACTTCATAAGAAATAATTCATTAATTTGTGATAAACATAGAAGATGTAAATACATAATGGTTCCGAATTTCTACGTTAACCCATTAGCCGCTGGTGTTGCGTTGACGCAACGGTCAAAATAAATGCGTATATAAATGAACTACCTAAGATATTTTATACCAGCAGATGATTTTGTGTAGCAGATGATATTATGAAGATTAATTTTATAAAAAATATTTGCCTTCAACAATCATTTTGTTTATAATAATTAATCTCATACTTTAAGCAAAATTTAAGCAAAATTTTCGACCGGGTATTTTTGCTGAAAATATTTTAACGAAAGAATCGCCGTCTTTATGAGTGATCTATTTTTAGTCAAAGTCACCGTTTATCAGAACATTACATCAGTCAGATGTTTATATTTGTGTTGGTAAGGGAGGGAAAACAGGTGTTGACGCAACGTCAGCAGGAAACGGGTAGTCAATCTCCTTTTCACTCATTCCTTTAATTGTTCTGGTTGTTTAGAAATGCCTAGATCGAGGTATCTTACATTAGAAGGAGCCATTCAAAGATTTTTTGATGAAGAAACAGATGATGATAATGTTAATAATGACCGGAATGAAACTGATATTGTTGTTGTTCCCCCAGAAATTGCAGAAGCTAGTGACGAAGAAGAAAGGAATGGCAATGTTTTAAATAATGATAATGATATTTTACCAAATGATACTGCTAGGGAAGTTGATATTCACGTAAGAAGTAAGTTTCAGCCTTCTAAAAGCAGTTATAGTCATACTAAAAAGTTTAAAAAGCAGAAGATTGAAATCTTGAAGTGGATAAAAAAGGAACTGTTAGTTATGTCTCAGGAAGAACATGAAGAGAAAGAGATAGAAGAAAAATTATAAAAGACAAAACATAAGGTAAAACTAGTGCACAGATTTTCGATTTTCTTTTTCGTATAGACATTTACTCTCTTCTCATTGAACAGACAAATATATACGCTCAGAAAAAAAAGTAATAAATAAATAAATAAAAAAAGAAGCCCAGAATTTATTGCATTTGAAGCCTATATGAGAAGATTTATTGGAATATTATTGCTTACAGGATATCGTTCTTTACCTCAAGAAAAAATGTATTGGTCTTTTGATAAGGACATTTCTGTTCCTGTTGTACGAGAATTGATATCACGTTTGCAGTACAGGAATATGAAGCAGAATTTGCATTTGACAATAGTCAGATTCATAATACTGATAAATTATATGAGGTGAGACCGTATCTAAATTTCACCACTTTTTACTACTGGAAATATAAAGTCTCTTTTAGATTTCAGACGCGAGAATGCATTATTCCTTTTGCAAACTCCTATTGAGAGTGTAGAATTAGCCAGAAATAGATCAGCAACAGGAAGACCTAGTAAATTCAGCATTCAAAAACCATTGCATGGAGATGGTAGACATTTTATCGTAAAGTCCGTTGATAACAAAAGACTTTGTTGTAAAGAGTACCATAGCCAGACTGTTTATAGATGCAAGGTATGTAATGTAGCTTTACATCATGATTGTAATGAAGTTTTTGATGCTTGAATCTTTGAACTGAAATAATCTGTATTTGTAAAAGAAATATAATGTATATTTTAATACTGAATTCACTACAAGTAAAGGGATTTGTAGATTTATAAAACGTTATGCAGTTCAAAAGGAATCCTGCGCTCCACTCAAAGGAAACATCGCACACGAGTACAATCTTACTCACTAAACATCCGTAGTCTTATTCCGCTGACGTTGCGCGAACGCAACACTCGCTTTTTACACAGGTAAGAGCGTTTTTTTTATTTTCAATGTAAATTTTTGTTATAAATGCTTAATTTAATATTTGTTATTATTTTCATGAGAAAAGAAACATTTCTTGTAGTTTTGGCGGTTAATGGGTTAAACAATTAAATATAAAACATTCACTTACTCGAATGGCCGCAAGTGAAGTCTGCGATTTCTTTTTCCTAAGCTTGCCTGAGTTGACTCCAAAACTGGCAACACGTTTGAATCCAGAAGTATCCATGGAGGAAGAGCTACCCCCTAAAGAATCCAACGTCCATTTGCGCCCACCAAATATCTGTAAAATAATAAAATATTCTTTTTTCGATTTTGGAAATATTTAGTTTTTCTTTTAAGAAATGTTATTTGCCTTTGAGAGAAATTTGTTTCATTCATTTCTTTCTGCATTGTTCAGAATATCATGAAATTTTATAAAATTTAAATAATTATGAATAAAAAAACAATGAAGATCTCATGCTATTTGTAATAAATGAACACATAATCAAGGTCTTAAGCTACATATAATTTGATTAATGCAGTAGAAACACACCAGCAACACGAAATTATTATAATCATGCTATACTTTGGAAAATATTTTCGAAGACATTACCTTAATGGCTTCTGCGGGCGTTGGACCAGCACAAGCAAGGTTTTCAAAATATAAGTGCACATATTTCTCTTTCAACCAAAAAATTCTGTGGTCACTCAGCATCTTCTGTTTTTTCAATTCACCTACGACATACTGGATGCCTTTGTGCCACAACTTTATAGCAACTGTAGGAGCAACAAATTCTAAAGTTCGATTATCCGATAAAGTGTTGCCATAAAGTATTCGAAGACATGATTTGTCCATGAAATCTGGAATACCTTGGCGTCTCGCGAGATGGTTAACGCTTACATCACAGATATCACAATTAAGCATGCTCACTTCCTTTACGTTTGACAAATCCAGAAATCCTTCCTCAGTACTACAGTAACATATATCAGAAGTTTCATATTTCAGAAGAAAACCAGAAGATATAGGATCATAAACAGTTAGGTTATAGTCTGGAGCTCCATTTCCTTTTAGTGCACTCCAAGGTGGTTTTGTCCAAGTAAGTGTCCCATTATTTCTTTCGAGTTTCAAGAATACCAGCGCTGAACGAGATCCATCATCATCTATATGTATAACAGTGCTACCGTGGTGAAGGAACTGCAATTCTTGAAACGTCTCACACTTTGAGCTGATGGGGAAAAGGCTCACAAATGGATCTTTTGAATTACTTCGTACTTCATACAGGGACTCATCTTCTTCTCCGTCGTTGCTCCTTCTAAACAAGACATACATTATGAAACACATTCTGTGAGCTTTTCTTGTTTCTTCACATTAACTGATTTTTCACAATTGGTTACATATTAAAACATGCTACTTACATAAAAGTTAGATTTTAAAATTTACTATGCATGTAACTGAAGCTAAAATACTATGAATGTAGTATCCTTTCAGAATTGTCCAACTTGAAAGTATAAATACTTTCCGATTAGCAGCTATATGGCAGAAGGTGGCTTTGCAGAACTAAAATCTCATTTAACAAAATTTATTAACATTCTTACAAATTAAATTTTCTTATTTAATAATGGTTATGAGATTATTTAAGAAATCACCTGCCGTAATTAATTTTACAGATGTTCTTTCTCTAACTTATAGTAACAATTTATTTTTGCTTAAAATCAAGTTGAATTAAAAGAATTCATAAGCTGGTAAAATAAAATTTTAATAAGACATAATAGTTGAACAATAATTTGGGAGAAAAAGAAGGGTCTATCTATTAAAGTAGTTGAACAGCTTATACAATTAACTGAATGAATAATATGAAATTTAAATATAGCGGAAAAGTTTATTTTCAAAACATTCAAGCATTCTCATTTGCATGCTGATGAATCAAGCAGAACAGTTTAGAGATAAGCTTCATTAAAAATATAAATTACTGTAATTTTAAAAAACTGAATAATTATATAAAGATTAATTATAAATCATTTGTAAATATACCCTCTTTTAGGATTATCCTCTTTCTTGGAATCCTTTAATTCGTTTCTTACTTTAGCATGTTCATGAAAAGTTTCAATTTCTTCCAGAATTTCATGAGTTTTTCGAATCTTTTCTAAGTTGATCAATCCGCCCACACCTATTCTTGTGAAAAAGTGGTCTTCGCCATGATAATCTGAGATAAACTGCATAATAAAGGGGAAAAGTAATAAAATAACAATCATATATTTTATGAAATTTCTTTGTTATTTAGTTAACTTACAAATAAGTTTAATACAAAATAAACAAATAATTAAGCAATAGCAGTACAGTGTTTCATATTTCATTATAAATTTATATGTTCACTTTTGAGGAAATCCGTACTTATTTGAATCATAGTGAGAACCTACATTTATGTTGTGTAAAAAATAATTTTTTGACATTGCTATGATTAGATACATTATTATCACAAATGATATAACATTATTTATATTAATTAGCTATCATAATTGCATTTCGCAATCTAAGTTAAACACGTTGTTACGTTTGATTGATAATCTAGAATGCAATAATTTTGTAGAGACATTAGGTATTTTTGAATCAGGAGACGTGAAAAAATGAGCAATGCCCTCCCCGGGACTCGAACCACGGACCTCTCGAACCACTAGCTGACCACTACACTACGAAGGCATGCTAAAAACGCGAGAGAAATACCTTATATACTGCCCCTTTTTATAGGGTGACTGAGATTAGGGGACCCAATCGACAAATTCTGGTGGTGAAGAATCATCATTCACCACTTTTTTTTTAGTTCGTGCGTCACTGCAGAGACATTAGGTTATTTCGAAGCAGGAGAGATGAAAAATCAGCAATGCCCTCTCCGGAACTCGAACCTCGGACCTCTCGAATACGCGCCGAGTGAGCTGACCATTACACCACGAAGGCATGCTAAGAAGGCGGGTGAAATACCTTATAATTTTATCATTCATATTTTTTAAATGATTGTAATTTAATTTATGAAGTTCTTATTTTTTTATTTTGCTAAAATGTGGTCTTTTTTTCCCCTATCTTTATATGCTTTATTAATTTTCATTCGCTTACACTAGATTTGCGAAACTTATTAAAAAGATACAATGCTATATATGTTTATGACTGTCAGATTGGTTAAGTCAACTAGAATAAAAGTTCAGCGCTGTCCATTAAAAGCGCTGCAGCATGAAAGAATTGCATAACAAACCTGAGATTTTCTTGATAGGACACGCTGGATAGACAAAAGATAGGCATTTCAAGGCCCTACACAAATCACAGGCAAGAATAATGACACCTCGATGCATTAAAAGGAGAATGAAATGTCGCTTTTTCGATCGGAAATCGCGTATGTGTGTTGCACAGCGTGTTATACCTCGTGTAAAATGAAGAACTCATATCAGCACATCTCAGAATTTGATAAAGAGAGAGAGAGAATCGTAACATACCGAGACTGCAGATTATCGTACCGCATAACTGCAGTTCGCGTTGATCGAGATCCAAAAACTGTAATGAGAATTTACAACTAATGTGTCCATATGTGACACTGAAATGAAATTTCATAATAGCTGGTAATTGTTGATAGCAAGGCTGGTTGTTATTTGAAATAACATAGATGTGTAAATGAACTTTACTTATCCTGTTTATTTGGATACTGCTTTCACGGCCAAATAAAGTTAAGTCTGTTTTTAATTTGTTCAGGAATTTTGATTTTCATCTTTAATTTAAATAATGTAACAAGATAAACAGCACAGTACACACTTAAGAGACTCTTAAATCAATTTAAGTAAATGGTTATGTTATTCGCTTATGGCAAATCACACGAGGACTCAAGGGGACAGGTGCCTTCGTGGAGGACTTTCGGACTTTCTAAGGGACACTGGCTTCTAAGGAACTATTCACGTTACACATGAAGGGGACACATGTTACTCATAACGTGTCACGTTACACACGTTACACATATTCACGTTACACACACTTCTAAGGGACTATTCACGTTACTCTAGCTTTCTAAGGGACTATTCACGTTACACATGTGAAAGTCACGAAAACCAACTATGCAGCTTAGCCTGTCCGCAGGGGTTCGAACCCGAGTCGAACTACCAGTATTCAGAATCTTAACCGCTAGGTACTGACGTGGCACTTTAGATGAATGAATAAGCCATAAATTAGCCTGGCCTAAATTTTGGCCCATTTATAACTTATAAACATAAATAGGAAAGCAATTACATATTTTATAGAGGCCAACTTTTCTTTGCTTAACCGTAGCAGATACTCATTTCCTAAAAATAGCCTTAACAAATTTCATGAAGTTATGCAGAATGCCTCTCCACGGAAATAATTTTTATTTTGAAATACACTGCTCGACATTGAAAATGTAACACTAAGAAGGAGTAGTCAGAAATTTATGCAAATTTTAGAGTAGACACACGTCACTGTGTTATGCGAATGATGTGAAATGCGCAGCTCTCCGACGCACATGAAGTAAGATATAAGGGAAGGAACGTGCAGAATGGGCAATATTCGTGTCGTTATTTCTGCCAGACGAATTATCGAAGGAAGTTGGTTTTTGTCCCAGAGGATACGTGTAATAGGAGAGAATTCCAGGCCGTCGTCAACGAAGGCACTTTCAGCCAGATAGATGATTTTACGAGGGGTATGGTGATCGGACTGAGAAGGGTGGGTTGGTCCTTACATCAAATCGCAGTTGATACCCACATGGATGCGAGTACGGTGCATCGGCTATGGCGAACATGGTTGGGACAAGGAAATGTGGGAACAAGGAGGGGTGCTGGTGCAGCCAGACTGACGTCAGCACGCGTGGATCGACGCATCCGCCGACAAGCTGTGGCGGTCCCGCAAGTCACTTGTACCGCGATTCTGCAGCATGTGCAAGATACCCTGGATGTTCCCGTTTCGACCAGAACTATTTCCCGTCGATTGGTTGAACGTGGCCTGCCCTCACAGCGTCCGTTAAGAAGACTGCCATTGACCCCCATAGCATAGACGCCAACGTTTAGAATGGTGCCGGACTGGAGCGATGTGGATGACAGAATGGCGAAATGTCGTGTTCTCAGATGAGTTGCGCTTCTGTTTATCCAGTGACAGTCGCCGCATACCTGTGTGGCGTCGAAGTGGAGACAGATCTAATCCGGCAGTAACTGTGGAACGCCTCACCGCGCGACAACGGGGCATAATGGTTTGGGGTGCTATTGCCTACGATTTCAGGTCACTTCTGTTCGTAATCAGGGCACTATGACGGCCCAACGATACTTGGATAATGTACTGCGGCCGGTCGCAATCCTCTACATTCAGGGGCTGCCTAATGCAATTTTTCAGCAGGATAACGCCCGACCACACAGTGCTCGCATCTGCCAACATGTTCTGCAAGGTATACAGATGCTTCCCTGGCCACCGAACTCTCCTGACCTGTCACCAATCGAACATGTGTGGGATGTGACTGGATGCTGTTTGCAAACTCTGCCCCTACCTCGTTCAGAAGACGAACTGTCGCAAATGGTTGAAAGGGAATGGAGAGCCATCCCTCAGGACACCATCCGCACTCTTATTGACTCTATGCCTAGACGTGTTTCTTCGTGAATTGCTGTCCGCGGTGGTCCTAGTCTACCCGGTGGCATTTGGTTCGCGGAACTGCCAACCGGATGGTCCAGGCGTTGGGTTTGGGTGCCTTGTGCAAGCCTCCCATGTGGCCTCTCTGGCTTTACTCTGGATAAGGGCGGACGTGGCTCTATATGCTAATTAACTTAATAGTAAAGGGGTGATGGCCACGTCCTCCGTTACTATCACTATCCTACTGAGCCGACGCTGTTCTCGCTCTGTATTCTGACTATCATTCTGAAATAAAGATTACTTAGTGCTGCTTGCTGTCTCTGTCTTTTTTCCAAATTTCATCACTTTCTGACCACTCCTTCTTGGTGTTGCATTTTCAATGTCGAGCAGTGTATGTAACATTATTGCCGCAGTTATTTTCTGCTAACCTTCTCGTTCACGGAAAGTTGCATTTTGTGAGTGGATTTGCATTTTTGAAGTGAAGGTTAAGGTACATTTTTCTTTGAACTCAAGTGCACAATTTTTCACGAGAATTTGCTCTGCATAGTTATCATTTGCATTAGCTGAATCACCTTAGTATTGTAAATATGCATTTAGCCTACAGAAATAAGTCAACCCAATTATCTGGATTTTTGGAATATCAGGAAAATCTGTCACCCGTTAGTCCGTACAACTGGCCCGATATATGAAAAGTTCAGGTAATTGAATTTCTCATCTATCAATTGAAGTTAATAGATTAGTCATAGTTATTAGATATATTGCTAATTGCTCAAATGTAGTTGAATTCTAATTGCTGATTTTAAATTTGTGCTATTTAAAGTCTGATTTGAAAGTTTAAATAAGCTCAAGTAGTATCCAAAGCAATATTCTCCTGCAGATACAAAATAGAAGTTAAGGGCATATAATTCAAATGTTAAAACTGTTTCCTGAGAAAATTATTTTTCTTCATGAACATGGCCTATGGTAATATACAAAACCGTATATAAAATCTGAAAGGAATTTAAGTCATAATTATAGGGGGTCCTAATAGTTCTTTCTGGAGTCTTTTAAAGTCCTTTTTAATATTTTAAAGAACATATGCTAGAAAGCTGATTTTACAAGAAATGAAAAATCATATTAAATATGCGTTTTTAAGTCATAAATTAAGCGCAACTAAAAATCCGATATTAGAAAGAAATTTTAAAACTTAGATCTTGAAACCTTTAGAAACTAACCTTAAATCTTGTAAAATCTGACTGCATAGCATATTTTAGCAAGCACATCTAACTTAGGTAATACTATAAGGTATTTCTCCCATTTTTCCTAGCGTGCCTCCGTGGTGTTGTGGTTCTGCACGCTGGGCCGGTATTCCAGAGGTCCGTGGTTCGATTCCAGGGGAAGGCGTTGCTAATTTTTTATCTCTCCGGCTTCCAAATATATACCTAATATCTCTACAGTGGCGGCCGAACTAGAAGGGTGTTGGATGAGGATTCTCCACACCCAAGATTTGGCGATTGGGTCCCCTTAAAACCCCAGTCGTCCTTTAAAAAGGGATTATATTGTAGTTTTATCCACTTTTCTAGCGTTTCTCTTCGGGTGTAGTGGTTCTGCACGCTGGGCCGGTATTCCGCGGTCCCGTTGGTGTCAATTCCCGCGTAGGGTTGCTAATTTTTCCTCCGCTTCCAAATTTACTAACGTCCTGTACACGTAACTACTCAGTGGTTATGCTTCGAAAATTTCTCAAAGGTTATTTCACATGCTATGCCTAAAGTTTAAGATGTCAAGACAAGTCTAAAAGAAGGTATCTATTTGAATTACATGATAGAGTTTGAAAAATAATAAACGACGACTAAAAGGTTTAAAACATTAGATCCTTTCTTTTTTGTTGCTTACGCTTGTAGAACCATTAACGCTTTATCCGATGCTTTGCGTGAATTGTGTAATGCTTGTTCCTCTTTCGAACTTTTGGCCCTCCTGATTAGCGATATACGTGCTTCCAATTATATCGCGAAGGGACAGTCGAACTTTGGCCCTCCTGATTAAGCGATAGACGTGCTTCCAATTATATCGCGAAGGGACACGGGAAGAAAGGAGAAAATACCTCATATACTCCCCCTTTTGAAGGGCGACTGAGGATGAGAGGACCCAATCGCCAAATCCTGAATGAATTATCGTCCACTATCTTTAATTTCGGGTGCCACTTGTAGAGTCATTTAGAATTTTTTCGTTGTCAGGGAACTGAAAATACCCACAATGCCCTCGCTTGTGTTTGAACTCCAGACCTCCCGATTACGCTTTGGACGTGCTTCCAGTTACACCACAAAGGCATGTGGAAAGGATAGAGAAAAACCTTATCTAATAAAGCGAATTATGTACTGTACATAAAGTTAGAAACTAACCTCTAATTTTGGATTTTCTTCTGTAGACAGAACAACTAGACTTGGGATAGATTTCAGGATTGACTTTAACTCACGAAGAAATGTGCCGAAAAAGGGAATAACTCGAACGTATGGAGATGATAAAGCTTTATCAATAGCAGCTCGGTATTCAGGTGACACTTGAGGAGTCAGCAACGCATTGCTTAGCATTTCCAAAGCGGTGATGTGATCCTTCTCAGGAAGAGACAGCCAGAAAGGTTTCAGTTTCTCTGACCTGTTCCAAAAAATATTAATTAAATTTTGCTCCATTATGCATGAAATAAAGTACTGAAAACTGAAACTTACTTGAGACCAGCCAAGATCTCCATAGCCGTATTGAAATTAGCTAGATTCCAACATGTTGTTGCGATCCTTAAAATGCATGAAAGTACAGCTTTTCGATCTTCGTGTGTCGGTTGAGAAATGATAATATGAGTGATCCAAGAACTTACCTATAATCAAGGAGCTCTATTTCATTCACGATATTGTAAGAGTTATAGGTAGCAGCTCAATTTATTGCAAAATAAATGAAAGCTCTTTTACATACGAAAATTAATGTTAGTAGCAAAAAAAAAAAAAAAAAAATAGTATGTGTATAGGGAGAGATTATGGGAAAATTTGGAAATATAATCAAGAGAGTATTTTTATGTTATACGAAAACAATAAACATTAAATACAAAAACTTGTTTAACGATTTAAAATAAAGCACATTTTCATAAAAGTTACATATTCTAAGAGATTATGCTAATTCCCTTCCGCGACTGACAAATTTTCTCACTGTACCACAGACTATGAACACATTTTTTAAATATTTGCTGAGATTTTATTTTGGCCCAGAAACTGAAAATAAATTTCAAACCACAATGTACATAAAACAGTCAGGATGTTAACTGATGTAGGATGTATGTAATTCTTATGAAACATTTCCTTTTAGGAATTTTAATCATTAGTTACATAACTGATATACATACAATTTATGTCTAGAAAAAAGTTAAATTTTTAAATTTATTTTCACCTCGTTATTGTACTTTTACTTATGCCAAATGTAATGGGTTTTTATTTGGAGTGTGTTTATTTGGAGATACAAGGGTGACTTTTAGAGACGTATAACCCATTGTTGCAATCCGATTACATTCGTGAAGCGTTTTTAAAGCCTCATCATCATATTTTTGTTAATTTTGTACTTCCAGGGCCTTTGAAATTTACTTGCTAAAGCTGCGATATTTCTTTATGGTGTGTTGGAAAGTAATCTTACTTATTCATCTTATTCAGATGCTATTTTCCCTTTATGCTAACAATTGTTTTACACAAATTTTTGCATTTTAAAAATATATTGATAACTCATTTTAAGATGCACTCATATCTATAAAAGTGATTAATATTAGTAGCGGACTTAATATCTATTATAAGAGCGTTAATCTCTTACGCTTATATTCAGTTTAACGAGAAAGCGCATAACAATATACTTATACCTTTTTCAGCGGTCAGTACAGTGGAATAAAATTATTAATTTTTAATGATTATAGTTTAACATTAATTATGATTGTCTAATGATTTTGTTTTCAAAATAGTGTGGTCTAAAATTTCTGCCGTAGCATTCATTTTGCCGGCATATTTTTTGTAAAGTAGAATTTACATTTTATTCTAAAACTTGCATGTTTTCGTACTGAGGCACACTCCACTAAAAGTAATATTAATAAAAAAATTCAAACGAGTCTATTTTTCGATTATAATTAATACGCCTTTAAAACGCCTCCTTGTACGAGTCACACGGCAAAAATTTCAGTGATCGGAGAAAGGCCAAGTTCTACAATAGTATAGCAAAAAAGTAAAATCAACAAATCAAACTTTTGTATTAGGAGTAACAGCTGGTGCATCTGAACCAGCTAAGCCTTCTCTAGTACGTTCTCGGATTCATACTTACTCGTTATTTTTTTAAACTGAATCTTCATAAAAATATAGATAATGTCCCAATTTTTCTGCGGACCACATGGATCACCGGTTGGCGACCGCTGTTCTAGAGGACCAGCTTCGAGTCCCGGCGAGGACATTAAACACTTTTCACATCTCCAGCATAAAAAATACCTATATGTTTCCACAAATTAAATAAGTATATGTCACAATATATTAGAAGAAAAATCCCAAGTGAGAAAATTTGAATGCTAGGAAATTTCCTCCATTAGAGAATCACTTATTTCGTGATAAACATTATAACAAGATTCCTTACAAAATTTAGTCTATGAAGGCTAAATCTCAAGGGCGATATTTTGATAAGAATTCCTGAAGTGACGGTAGTCTCCGATTGATGTTTATCCTGAGGATGCGTAGAATTCCTGTGTTCACGTATAGCTTTTAAATCAGCCTTCCTGCTTCGATTTTTACATTTCAATAGATGTCCAGATATTCATTCTTGATCCAACTTCCATGAGAAGAAGCCTCTCCGAAACAGACATCTTGTGGATACCGGAAGTAGCCGTAGATTTAGTCACTTTATATAGTATATGCCATAGTAATATACAAATCGAATATTGTCTTCTGTAAAGAAACTTTTATACATGTAGCTCTTATTATATATTTTATAATTAATAACTACTGTTAGAAATATTCCTGCATATAAAGTTATTAACTCTCAGGTGAACCATGTTATATCGACACTTTTACGCACATTTTACGTAATTTTAAAACGAGAAGTGAAGTTTTAGGCATTTATTATACCAAGGATATGTGAATTACGTATTTTTATGGCAGGCGCTCATGTTTCTAATTAAAAGGGATCGAGAAAATAAATGAATTTCGATAAAAGCATGCTGCTGAACACCAAATGCTTCGAAAATTATATTAATATATGAAAATTAGAATTACATGTATTAGAAAGCTGAATATTGTTTTTTTGCGTATTGATATGGTGTTAAAAATTGCTGAATGTGAAAATAATTTAATGCATTTAATCAATATTGTTAATTCCTTAGATTAAGTTTTTTAAATTCCTATTAGTGGTCCGCCAAATATAAAATTATATATGTAGGGGTCCGTGAAGTTCTAATGGTTGACGACCGCTGCTCTAGAATACGCGCCGAGTGTGCTAACCGTTACACCATGAAGTCATGCAGAAAGGAAGAAAAAAATACCTTATAGTTATTGCTTTATATCTGCGCTAACTATGAATCTCAGCAGATGTAGATGGAAATTTCTCAAGACGTCGAACAAAGGCGGCATTATATTGTAGAAGATTATTTCTGTAATACTGAAATCAGTTGCAAAGTTTCAGCCTAGTAGCATTTCCTCAATAGAGTTTTATTTAATTCCCCAAATCGCTTATTAATTGCCTTCATCTGCATTTTCCTCTACTATGTAACCATCTATTTAATAGTAAAGAAACAAATAAGTTTCTTTACTATTAAATAGATGGCATGTTATTTTTACTGAATTTATAACTAGATATTCAGATATCAATGTGAATAATAAATTTAGTCCTTGATAATTCAGCTAATGTACACAAGTTTTTAAAAACGCTTGTTTATCTGGTGGATGTGCTGATTAACAAAGGCAAATAGAACATCGATGAACCTGGGTTAGAATGTCATATGCTTGAATGTTCGTGACCGTCAGAGCTACTCGGAATAGAAGCAGCTACATTTGTCTCTCCGAAAAGCTTCTCATCAGCGTGCAGTGATGAGCTGTACAAGACCTCAGATACTACATTTTAAAATGTCTCAACTAAAACTAGGATGATGTTCGACAGCTACGTTTGGTTAGCTTATTTGATTATTGCAAAGCAACTCGAGGGCTATCCGCTTATAGAGAGGTCGGCTTTCGTGGAGGACTTTAAGAGAAACTGGGTTGTGTCCAAATTAAACATGCAAAGAACCACAAAGCTCCCATGCAGCCCGAACATTCATCAAAATTTGAACTTGTGGATCTAACTACTAGCGTTTAATGACTTTACTGCTCGGCCGGTGGGGACTTGTTTGATAGTTACATACATTAGGCTTTTCCTCTTAATCTGTCATATCGTATCATCGTCTCATCAGACTGGAAGTTTTTCCCTTTGAGTGATACTCCATAAAGCTTCCGAAATTGTGTACGGCTTCGCAGTGTCATTTTCGCCAACACTGCCCACAGATACATGTTTTATGACGTACTCATGCCGCAACTGGTTTCTTATCCCGACGTCCATACTTTTACCATGCCAAAAATGTCAACTCTTTCATTTTCTGGAAGTTGGATGTGGTGAAATGTTCCACGTCTTAATGGCATTCTTAATTTAGGTAGCATTAATCCGTCATATTTTAAAGCCCTTGCCAGTTCCTTCATAACACAGATAAGAAAAGTTTTAATGAAGGACGCTCTTTTTGCATATATGCAAATAATTTGGGTAGGTCAATGCAGTCTAACCGAGTGCTAAGTTACAGCTATTTTTGCTAATTATTTCTAGGTCGGGCAACTTAACCCATTAGCCGCTGGTGTTGCGTTGACGCAACGGTCAAAATAAATGCGTATATAAATATAACTACCCAAGATATTTTATATCAGCAGATGATTTTGTGTAGGGAACATTATGAAGATTATTTCTGTAAAAAAATATTTGCCTTCAACAATCATTTTGTTTATAATAATTAATCTCATACTTTAAGCAAAATTTAAGCAAAACTTTCGACCGTGGTATTTTTTTGCTGAAAATATTTTAACGAAAGAATCACCGTCTTAATGAGTGATCTATTTTTAGTCAAGGTCATCCGTTTATCCAGAACATTACATCAGTCAGATGTTTATATTTGCGTGTTGGGAAGGAAGGAAAAAAACAGGTGTTGCGTTGACGCAACGTCAGCAGGAATGGGTAGTCAATCTCCTTTTTCACTCATTCCTTTCGATGTTCTGGTTCATGTTCTGGTTGTTTAAAAATGCCTAGAACGAGGCATCTTACATTAGAAGAAGACCTTCAAAGATTTTTTGATGAAGAAACAGATGATGATAATGTTAATAATGACCAGAATGTAATTGATATTGTTGTTGTTCCCTCAGAAATTGCAGAGGCTAATGACGAAGAAGAAAGGAATGGCAATGTTTTAAATAATGATAATGATATTTTACCAAATGATACTGCTGAAAGTTGAAATTCAAGTAAGAAGTAAGTTTCAGCCTTCTGAAAGCAGTTATAGTCATACTAAAAAGTTGTTTAAAGATTGAACGCTATCTAGATCTAATATCTGTTTATATGATCTAATATTTGAATAACAAGATCTAATATTTGTTTAAAGATTTTTATTTTTAAACAGTTTTCCTTGTCTGGGACTGAATAATTTTGAAATGACATCCTTACTAATAAAAACTAAGGAAATATACTTTACTAATAAACCAGTATTCATATCATTTACCTAATATAATGATGTAATAATCTTCATGTAAGGTATGTGTTTTGGTAAATAATGCCCTAGTGAAATCGTATAAATTCAGAATCATTTTGTGATTCTGAATTTATTCATTACTTTTAGCAAAATAAATTATTTTTCCCTTTTTAAAGAATTATTGATTACATTTTATTGACTTAACGTTATTAAATTTTTCAAATATCAGCATAAGAATACGTTTCAAGGTATGATCGCAAGGCTGATATTTACACTACTTTGCCACTTTTGTCGCTCATGCTTAGGCAAACAGCGGCATTATTTAACAAGCTTAAAAATAAACATAAAACATATGTTAACCCCTTCCCATGCCATTTACCTCGACGAAACTTGGGCTCAAGTGTTATGGGTCAATGCGTGGTAAACAAGCCAGACTGATGCTTGAGAACAGTCACAATACGAGCCGAAGCATAAATGCCTGTATTATAGTCAGTTTTGCGCGATACTGCTGGCGTGGAAGTAAACTTTAATCCTTCATAGATATTATAAATATATTATATTTTGTAATAAATAACAGTTTCAAAATTATATTTCATAAATAAACAACGCTTCAAGAAAGTAAACTTCAATCCTTAGTGGAAGTAATGCCTTTTGCAGATATTATATTTTTAATATATAATTTTAATAAATACTATATAATTTATATAATAAAGAATCGTGACTAACTCTAGTGATGTACTAATAGGAACTAACGTTCGATTACGACCGTGAAATTGCGATGTTAATGTTCACGAAGCCAGCTCGTGATGTTTATGTTTGGCTCAGCTTTCTTTTCATGGCCTGGCTCTGTGATGTTCACGTTTGGCACAGCTTTCTGTCCACGAGCCTGGCTCGTGATGTTTATGTTTGGAACCAAATCTTCATCACGAGTCGGACTCGTTAAAGCACGGAAAGGGGTTAAATAATGTTTGAATTAACATTTTTGTGCTACGAATATGAAATAAAATACTATATGTTTTAAGCTTCTGTATGAAAATAATCGATCTGTTTTCAAAGACAAATTTGCTTATCAATAGAAGGCGGAATTGCAGTAGAATCCAAATGTCGCCAGGAGTAAGAATGCCCGGCCAAACTGGCGATGCAAGATGCATTTCAGGGTTTTTTTTTGGTTTGGTTTATTTCATTATGGCAAAAAGCGCGAGGGCTAACTGCCTTGCATATCAGGAATCATTGCATAACGTGAAGTTCTAAACTGAGGTTTCTTTTGGTTTCGTAAGAAGAAGGAAAAAGCTGTAAAACTGAAAATTACTTTTAAAATTATTTTTCCAAGTATTAAATTCTATCTAATTACCTTTTTTACTTTAAAGACCTTGTAGTAATCTTAGAAATTTAAGGTGCTAGCTGATGCATGTTTAATCAGCATAGCAGAAAGTGCTACGCACATTTTATTTTATTATTTCAGTTTGTTCCTGCAATATTACACATTTTTAGGTACGCTGCTGTTAAAGGGGCGCCATTTAGTGCCAGAGATACACATTGGAGGGAAATCTAACTAGACGACGCCGGCTCTAAAGATACGCAAAGCTTCGTAGTAAAAAGCAAATTTTTAAGAACAGTAATGTATCAATATAAAATAATATGTATAACATTTGATGTGTGCAATGTCGAAGCTTTGAGCGATATCGAATTTATGAAATTCTGTGATTTTTTTAAGATCACTGTATATATGGGAAGAACAACAGCTCTGTTTTCGCTTAATAAACATCACAGGATTGCACAAAATTGGCACCACGAACAGACTTGGTGTTTCATACTTTAAACAGTTCACAGTTGTGTAAGAGGCGATATAAGCAGGCTACCAAATCTGGCGCTGTGGCACTCATTTGGCTATTGGCGCCCTGTTGAGAAAAAGAATTGATTTTTAATTATCGAATAAACTGGCTGGTTTTTAAAATATGAGTAGCAAGTTCTCGAATTCAACTAGAAAACAGAGCAGTTTTACTCACTTTCTCACGAACACTCTACGTATGAAGACTAGATAAAGCATCTGCTCGGTTAAGGTATCAAAAACATATACAACATAATATCTTAGTGTTAGAACAGCAAAGAAATATTTTTACCTCTTGGAATCTTTTGACGAGTCGTTTTACGGTATTGTTACCACCAGGGTCATGACTAAGATTCAAGGTAATCTGGCGAACATAATGGATTGGAGCCACTTTATAGAAGAGATCATATTCGACTTCAGTTAACAGAAGCGCAACTACTTCAGGAAAGTGAAGAAGGGTTTGCAGGGATTCCAGTTCTTGTTTGTAAACAGTATATCGTTCCAAGCCCTGCCTTTCACTCAGAGATTTTCGGATTTCTAGAATGAATTAAATAAATAATAACTATATAACTGAAAAATTAACGGTAACGTTCTATGTTTCCTGTGCGCAAACAAAGTAATGAAAAAAGAAACTAATAATACAAAGTGTTAATTAGCATCCGATTTAGGTGCTAAGTGAAGTAACTGGAAAAAATAATCTTTTTATCTTTTAATCTTTTGAGAATTTAATGAAACTAACTTCTCAAACGTAACCTCCGCGAATTTCTCGTCCTGGTAAAATAGGAAGTATTACCACTTGAAAGAGATGATTGTTCCAAACCTCATGTGCAGGCAATACAGTGAAATAAATGCACAGCTACGTCTTGATAATTAAATCATTTCTAAATTAAGGTATCCGACCTCGTTCGGGTACCATTTTTTAAGAAATGGTTTTTATTTTAACTATAAACATATTAATTTGAAGATACGCATACTAATGAGTGAAAACAGCTTAAAAAAGTAATGCTAAGTAATTTTAATTTTGAAAAATAATGAAAAAAAGGATAATTTTTGCTTTTGTCATTACGGCAACAACCACGGTGAACAAATGTATACATAAATATACAGTTTTTTTAATTTGTATTTATGTTTACACTTATTTTGTATGCAATGAAGCAAAATAATTAAGAAATATTCATATGTTCTTGAGATATGTCAAAATATATAGTATTAACTGCATATTTTCCTATTATTGCCTCCAAAATCTAAGAATAAAAAGTAACAATTCAACTTCTAATTAATATTTCTAAAATCTTCTGCTCGTGATCAGATTATATGAAACATGCATAGAAAGTATCTTTAGTTTTATTCATAAAATTGTGAGTTATGGCTGTTACCATTGGCAATATTTACTGAAAAACACATTTTTCAGAAAACAAGTTTAAAGTTTTCATAAAACAATTTCTTAGTTAAAAATGCATCCCTGATAATTAAAATCCCCCCTTTTTTTAATTGACACCTTGTTGGTATTTTCACAAACATTGCGCTTTTTCTTTCGAACATAGCGTAATTTTTTTCTTTGGGTTTTTGTAAAACTTGCGGAATGGCGCCAAGAGTCATGATTTTGCACTTTATCAAGATTTAGAATTCCCTGCTCAGTGTAAAATTCAGAACACACAGCTAACCTTGAAAATGCTTCAAGCAAACCTATGAATTCATCATTAAATAACATTAAATAACAACACTTGTTATTTAATGTTATTTAATGATTGCTCCAAACATTAATGTTTGCGATGAACAATTTCCAATAAAATGCCATTAAAACGTTCTTTGATATTTTGAGTTTTGCCATGTATGCACTTTTTTAATAACTCTTGTTTATGTAGTCAACTCCATATACGTAGGCTTAATTAAATTCAAAATATATGTTGATATACCAGAGGTTTTTGGCTGATTTTTTTTCTTTTCTGCAATCGCACATTGATAGTTGCACCAACTCGTTGATTGAGGAGGGCATTGGCTTCGAAGAAGAGCTACAATGGAACAAGCAGCTAGTACAGCCTGCTGCATCTCAATTAAGTTTCCAACATTACTTCTAATTGCAATCCCCAATTCTGCAGTTTGTCAATAAAAGAACCAATCAGTTTACCTTTCCCTTTCAATCCAGGAGTGGAGTTTTTTGCTTTTCGTAATGTACACTGCCAACCCTTTTCTGTACATGTCCAATGCATTCCAGTTTCTTGACCGAATCTTCACCATATATATTTTTCACAATTAAAAACCCCTTAGAATCTCCATCCTCATAATACTCCGTGTACTTCAGCTTTCGTAATTTAATAGATCATTCAAAAAGCGAATAAACACCAACTGCTTCACACCCGAAGCTGCTTCTTTATAATTTGCAGAATAATTATGTTACGCATATATATATTATGAACTATATGTTTGCTGAAGATTGCATTCCATTTTGTTTAGTTTGTGCAAATGATGCAAAAATGTGATATAGCCTTCAAATCAAGTACTTTGTCAAAGCTTAATCGACAAAGCAGTAACACATCCATTCAACTTCGAATACCCTCTGCGCCAAACTAAATACGAAATTAAGGGAAAACTACCGCCAGAATCTTAAAATGTATTACAAAATATCTAAACCTTAGTACGATGGTTTATAATTTGCAAAATTTTGATGATAAATAAAGTTTCTAAATAGTATGTCTATTTAAACGCTCACTTCCGGTCCAGAATATTGGAACTTCCGGTTATTCCGTTACAGAAAAATGCTTATAATTCAATTCTAATTAACATATCAACAAGCAAAACTTGTATTTGATAGCTAAGATGTATTCTTTAAGATAATGTAATAAAGTAAAAATCGAAATTTTGTCCGAAAATCGTCTTTTGTACGAGGTCGGATACTTTAAATAAGCGTATAAGCTTACACGTGGCTATAATTAATATTGAAAACAACAATATCATAAAAAGTTTCCCTACCATTGTAAGGATTATGTTAATTTTATTAACAGTTAAATTTTTAGTTAAACTTCTTTCCTGTCAAATTCTTAACTTCAACTTACTACTTCCGGCCGGAACGTAGTCTTAGAATCACGTCTGAATACATAGTGAGGAAGAGCGGTATTTAACCGCGCAGTTCTACTTGCTGAGTTACAGAGAATCAGAGTTTCAGATTAGCGTGCATCCGGCTTTTTGGCTATTCTTTCACAAAGCTGTTATTACGCTCGGCCGTACTCAGGCCCTTGATACCTTCGCAGTCATCTCGTGTTTAAGGGGCCACCACCATTGAAACTACTTCCGGCCTCTGAACTCCATTGAATTGAACTCCATTGAATTCTCTGAACTCCATTGAATTGATAGCTTCGGCTACATCTCTTTTAGTTTAGATTAGTTTTAGTTTACTTCTTAGCCTCTTAAGTTCAAGCCCAAGTGTCGGCTTTTATTGTACACTCCAAGGCGGAGTTCTGTTAAATCTTATTTGAATAATAAAGGGTTATTTACCCTTCCATCTTGTTGTTTCTTGTCACACGAACTGAAGGGATTATTCGCTTTTCAGTTCTTAAGATTCTTCACGTTCAACAGTAACTTAGCATTTACGAAGTGAGGAGCTCTAGACCCTTTCGGACTGCTATTTTTAATAGCTTGTTTTACATGCAGGGTGATCCAAAAGTTAAAAAAAAATGAAGTTAAAATTCAGTAATTCGAAAGGTGTAGACAGTAGCACAATGCGGTTTCATCAGAAATCCACAGAAGTACATGGAATTTTTTTCAAATAAAGAAAAGACTTTAATGAAAGAGAAGTTACAGTTTTCATCGAGAGATCTTACTTCAGCTGTGCCAGAAGTTTATATAGTGGAACAGTACAATTCGCAATTCCTGTCACATAAGCTGTAATTCCTGTCACATAATGACGAATAATCTCCTTCAATGTGGCCAATGAAGCTGATCGAACTTTGCATATCTATGACTTCAAGTAAAAATTCTAACATTTCTGACAATAAAACGTTTCATTATTGGAAGGGAAAGAAAAAGAAAATATTCGGTGCGTTTCTGTGAAAAACCTCATCGTGCTACTGTCGATTCTTCTTTTAATTTTTTACTTTTTACTTTTTTGTGATTCGAGATATACTAGAGATTTCTCGGCGGCCCGCATATATTTATGCAAGACCAGAGAGAGCATCAGTTTCGTTAGAATAATAGTTGTTAGTTCAGAACAGAATTTGGAGTATTCAGATATCCGTGACTTCGCTGTTTAGACGTGCTTTGCATTGCAATGTGTGTAACGTTCTTGGTAGTTTGAGGTGATAACTGCTGATTGTTTTCTGTTATACTGAGAACAGCTATACGAGTGCCTTTGTGGAAAATTCTAGGATTGTGATGTGTTTCTTTTGGAAAAAGAAATTTTATTAAGCTAGCATCGGTTATGTGTGTTTTCAACCTATTACGAAGCCGTACGGATGGAACCATACATTTCTGATATTACTCTACGTAGCAGTTTTAACCACGTTTACGATTATATCATTAATGTTTATAATAAACAAGCCACTTAGTTTCACTTACCAATTTGGTACTTTTCCGTTTCGCCGGCACAAATCTCGCCAAGGAGATTTTATTGGCGACAACACACAGTATACACATAAAAAATGTTAGGCCTAAGAATTTTTTATTTTGAAGGCATAAACACTTTAATATCGTTTATAATTTTGTAAAAAGCCAATAAATAAAGACCATAAATTTGTAAAAAGACATTAATTTAAGAATTTACTATGCTTTCATGGTTCAACATCCTGATTCGCCGGTTCATATCACGTGACTAAATGATCTCATCTCGCGTAAACTAATCTACAAAAATCTAATTCTCTTAGTAATTATCTACATTAATTTTCAAGTTAAATCTTAATTTGGAATGCAAGAATTATTCCAGTTCGTACGAATAGCTTACTCAGAAATTATGTAAAACCGTAGTGCTTTACTTCGCTAGTGCTTTCTCATTATAATTGATGAATTTAACCCTTGACTTTGCCTTATTTTTACTTGACTTATACTGACCTATATTTTCACCGTCGGGTGAGCGGTGTGATTGCATCTTAATTGACTTAATTACCGCGAATGGCTTTAGGGCATAAAATTGAACTATCTGATAAAATTCTATGTAGTTGTATGCTGGTATTGAAAGAAACAATCTGATAAGAAATGGCTGCGGTTTGTTTCGAAAATGATGCCTAAAAGGTTACCAGCGAGGATATTCCATTTGGCATCAATTGTACCATTACTGGCGACTTTATCGCCTGCGCCGGCAAAACGGAAAAATACCAAAAATTCTTATAACTCACTCTACTCTTTCTTCGAATTTCTTGCTTAAAACTATCTGAATTCGCATAACATGGCAATCTCTAGGAATCTAGCGACAGTTTTATGTGCTTATATGGGGGGGGGGAGAGAAACAGATAACCGGTAAATGTCCTTTTACGAAAAGAAGCAATTGGACTGAATTCGTTTATTTGGATTATTGCAAAGCATACTAGGAATATCTGCATAACGAGAGG